TCCCCTCCCCCTCGTTCGCAAAAGTTCGCTTTGGCTAAACCCCCCTCCCTCAAGTGCGAACGTAATATGTGAACAACGCCTTATGTAAAAAGCACTATTTTTATTCACTATTTATAAGTTTTTTAATATAGTTTTAGATTTAGTTTATAATATATTTATTTATTTAAGTAAATAAAACAAGTAAACTGTTAACTATAAATATAATAGAGAGTATAATTTAATTTACAGTATCATTTAAAAGGAGTATTTTAAGTCAATAAACTTTATACAATTATCATGCAAAACTAACAGCTATACTAACATAAATAAAATAATTTTAAATCTAAATTAAATATTGTCATATAAAAAGTTGTAATCAACCAAATATACAGTTATTTATATAATTTATATGTTTTATTTTAAGAAATATTTTTCATATGTTAAACCAAAAAAAGATTAATYATTTAATGTAACGATGAGTTTAAAATAKCAAATATTAAATATATAGAGTAAATCAAAATACATTTTATTCAAAATTTGTTAACTCTTTAGGTAATTATTTTAATTTAGATAAAACATAATTCAAATATACTTTAGATAATATTAACAAATAAAATATACAAATACAGTATAATATTATACTAAATAAGTAAGTCATGTAAACTAATAATTCTCAATAAATATTAATTAATTTTGATAAATTAATTTTAAATATATATTTTAAAGTACTAAAGATTTCATTTAAATAATAAATAGAAATAGTAAAGTATTAGTTTTTAAATATTTTCTAAAATTTTAATAAATTTTCTTTAAAATATTAATGTTTTTTAAATAAAAATTATATATAATATTTATTCAGYAAATCAATATTGACAAAAGAAAATTAATTTTAGATTAACATTTTTATATTAAATATATTCTGTAAATCTTGTAATCTTTAAACTTTATGTCCGGTTGGATATTGTCTTAAAATGCTAATTGTCTTAAGCAAACTCTTCARTAGTAAAAATATCACAATTATTATAATAATGACATTATTAATAATAATATACAGATTTAAGATAAAATATAATTCATATATAATATCTAATTTAATAAAGTATTGATATTAATCCACAGCAAACCGAGCATTCATATAATGAGAGCTAAAGATCATTAGACTATTCAAAATTATTTTATTTATTTTATTAAAAATTAAAATTTATTATTAATAATTTTAAGATTAAAAATAATTATTATACATTTTTATTTTGTGAATTTATAAAATTATAAATAGTTGTCAAAGAAGACGCAATATGTTATAATTAAATATGAAAAATGTTAATCATTAATATCATTAAATATTATATGCCATTAAAAAACATTTATACATTGCATTAATGTTAAGTTTTTAATACAATATACGTTAAGAACATTCAAATGGACCGCAATTCTCAACAATAAAATGTTTCGACAAAATTAGTCCATTATTTTTGAAAATCTCAATGATATGAGTCATCTCTTTAAATAATTTTAATAAATAATTTGTGTGAAGTTTTAGCAGTTTATATAATAGKATATTCATAAAATACATTGTAATTAGTTCATAAATATCTATTTATATAACATTAATATCTTTATTTTTTATTATTGTTTTACAGTTAATTATTTGCGACAAATTACTAAAGCTTACAAAAAATATTTTACACAAATCTAATATATAAAAAGTTATAATATTATAAAATTATTAATTGATATTTTATTTAAGTTATGTATTGTATAACAACTTTGTTTAATAAAAAATAAGTTTCATATTAAAGAATAAGTAACTAATGTGATATTGATTGTAATATTAACTATAACTATGATATTTTTCAACAGTTTAAACAGCAATTAATATAATAATTATTTTGTCCATAATTGTTTGTACATAAAAAGTGATACTAAATTTAGCTATAATTAAATTAAATTTGGTGTAAATTGAATAACAGTAAGAAATAAAATATAATAAGTGGTAGCATTGGTTACATATTGAAAAAATTCATTGTTATTCATAGGAAACAAATCGTAGCAATAAAAGCCAATATCAGGTCCGCATAGTTTCTCAATAAATTGATTTATTTTTAATTTGTCTGAAATCTTTAATTTATTTTTAGCAATAAATGAGTGGACATTAAGACATGGCTTATGTGCCTGACGTGAGAAAAGGGCACAAATCAAGTTAATAGTGAATAAAATTACCGATAATAAAGAAAATGTGAAAATAGCCCACAAACGGAGGTATAGTTGCGAGGAGTCCGAGTGTATCATATAAGCCAAGATATATATGGTAGGGGTAGCCATATAGTAGAGCACTAGTAGTATGTATTTGAAGAGATGRTTTAGTTTATGAGTTTGTTGTGAAACAAAGTCGTGTTTCTTAAAGGCATTTATCAAAAGCAAGACATCACTTGTTCTCAAACTTTGTCGGATCTGTTGATTCACTTCAATGAATTGATATTTCAGATACAATGCTGTCATAAACCAGACACTAAAGCCACCAGCGGTGGTACCAAAAAGGTTAATACAGAATCCAACTGACACTATATTCCAAACAATTATACCAACTATTGAATAGTAATAGTTATTATCTAAATATGCCATAACTGTTGGTGTTATTAACACAATTGATGTAAATATAGTCAACGGATAAAATGGTTGATAAAGAAAATATTTAATGACTATATTTGAATTAACGACAAACTTGTGGTGATATTGTGATGACAATTGATGTTCATTGTGTCCATTCTTAATGGCCGCCAAATAGGCGATCACATCAAGAGTTCCGTTTAGTTCATGAGATTGAATGGTAAGTGCAATGAAAAAGAAGAGAAATCCAGCGCTTCCTAACATCGCTGAGAAGAGCCGTTGCGGACCCAACACGTAATGACAGTCACACATCACATATAATAGCCATTGTTTGTTGAATATAGAGGTCACAGAAAATCTAATACCGATCAACAATAGAGATAATTTCATAAATAATAATTTATATTTTCTTATAGTTGTTAAGTTTCCCAAAACATAGTCATCAAATGTTTGACTAATTATTATATAATATTTTACTATAAATTTCTCCAATTTTCCGATAATAATTGCCTCATTTTGAACATTTTTCACACTTTTATCAAAAGTTTGCAAATCTTTATGTTTAATTTGTCGGGATATTAACATTTTAACACTAAATATGCATTATAAAAAATTAATATAATAATATTAGTATTTTTAATATATAAAATATTATATATATATATATGATAATACTGTAATTATTGATTTCACATTCTAATACTTGACTATTTTATATATAATTTTTGGTTTATATACTATCGAATTAAACAAATTAAAATCCGCATCAATATTGTATCGTATAATATGACTATTTTTGACTATTGTTTATTTATAAAATTTTTAAAAATATTTCTATAACATTGTAACAAAAATATAAACATTAATTGTTCTTAACATGATATAGATGTATTGATCCAAATTATATAAATATTATAATAATATTATATATTTTATTATTTAAAACTTATTTTATTCATTTTACTTACTGTAATGAATAAATATAAATATAATAGTGAAAAAAACTAACTATTTTGTTGTGAATATTAGTAACAATATACTGAGTTAGAAAATATTGTCTATTCTAACTGTTAATTAGTATTACTCTATGAAATTGTACTTGAATTACAATATGTCAACAAATATAAAATATTGTTCACAAGTTTACTGAAAACTAGCTTAATGTTAGTTTATGTATCAAACATGCTATAAATAAATTAATAAAATTGTAATTTACTGCTAACTATAAATTATATTAGAAATTTTTTAATAAAAAACTATAAATAAGAATTTATATTTATTATATCTAACATATAAATATTTATATTACTTATTTAAATTATATATTAATATTAATCAAATATAAATTCTGTTTAAAAAAGTAACAATTTATTAATTTATATTATTTAGTGTTTTTTGGTAAATAATTTTCTTGTACTTTTAATTTGATTTTAATTTTGTAAGAATGTAATGAATATTGTATTATTTTTAGTATCAATTACTATATTATTATTATTATATAAAACTTACTTTTATTTATTAATTTATTAAGTTTTTTGTAGTTCTCGACACTCATTATTATATTAATGTAAGTTTTGCTTACTTTGTTGATCACAACTTTGTATCCGCAAACTAGCGGTAAATTTCTGGACAATTGTTTCGAGGAGATCGGCTCCTCTTCATCAGCAGTAATGGTCAACTGAGGGTCAGACCTGACACTTACAGTTGCCTTAATAGCCATAAGTGAAGTCAGGATTAGGGAGAGATATGTGATAATTGGTATCATATGTGATGTTAGGGTTTGTTTTAAATGTTTTTAAATGTCTTAAATTTATTTATTTACAATTATAACATAAAATTCACATAATATACAACTTGCCAACAGAACAGCCAAATAAAACAACAAAATCTAAAGATATTAAAAATAATATTGTTTATCAAATAAATTCTGAATGTACGGCCAGTTATATTGGTACTACTAAAAGAAATTTATCACATAGAATTAATGAACATAAATTGGCATTGTTTAAAAATAATATTGATAATAATATTGCTTCTCATTCATTATCTAACAATCATAAAATTAATTTTGAAAACCCAAAAATTATATATACTGAAAATAACTATAAATCTAGATTATTTTTGGAAAGTTGGAAAATAGAGACAGAAAAAATAAACAATAATATGTTAATAAATGATCAACAAAATGCAAAAACATGTATTCCAGACACATATCTGTCATTAATTAATAATAATTGTAATCCCAATGATGTCCCTAATATAGGGCTGTTCTGTTGGCAAGTTGTATATTATGTGAATTTTATGTTATAATTGTAAATAAATAAATTTAAGACATTTAAAAACATTTAAAACAAACCCTAACATCACATATGATACCAATTATCACATATCTCTCCCTAAYCCTGACTTCACTTATGGCTATTAAGGCAACTGTAAGTGTCAGGTCTGACCCTCAGTTGACCAYTACTGCTGATGAAGAGGAGCCGATCTCCTCGAAACAATTGTCCAGAAATTTACCGCTAGTTTGCGGATACAAAGTTGTGATCAACAAAGTAAGCAAAACTTACATTAATATTACTTTTATTTGATTTATGGATACCTTATTTTCGTATAATTTAAGTTTGATTATTAAATTACAATATCAATATGTATTGAATAAAAAAATATAAAGTCATTAATATAAMTACTATAAGTTTAGAATGAATAACAGTTAATTATTAATATACTAAACATACATTTTATTAATATTATAATCAGGGTTGTTTTGATAAAAGTTGCAAACAAACAAAAGTTATTTGATATACTAAATAATAATAATAGTAATAATATTAGTAAATATTTTAGAACAAAATAGATTTTTTCGACAAAAAATAAATTGCTTAATATAATATTATTACTAAATTTAAAGTGTCAATAATTTGATTAAAAATGACTTAATTAGTAATAAAAATATGACAAAAACATATTTATCAAGTATTTAATGTTATTTTTCAAATCTAATCAAACAAAATGCTTTAATAATCAATAATCATAAAGCAAATAATCATAAAATAAAACTTATATATATATATTGTAGAAAAATATACAAAAAACACACAACCAATTTTTTAAAATCACAATTTTCATATTAAAACAATTAATTATTAAAAATATCGGACAATACAATCTGATAAATGAAAATTATATAATACAATTCAATTATATAATACAGTTTTCAAAATATCAATCTTTTATAATCTTATTTAATCTTAATTTTTAARATTAAAATTTTTATAAATTAAAAAATATATTTATTCTAACTTATACTAAATGCCAAATATTAAGATATTCATTACTTTCTTGTATCAGATTTTTTTTTGTCGGACAAACTATAATTTATAGTAAATAAAATATAAATTTKTATTTTGACATTTAAAAAATAAAAATGACAAATAGTTTATTTATATATTAATATTCATATATTTATAATAATTCTTAAATGACTTTTATTTTTTGACGTTTTAAAAACATTTGCTTTAGACAAATGCTATTAATAATAGTTAGTTAATATACTACTATATATAAAAATATTTTTAATTTTTTAATTAATATCTGTAAAATTAACAATTACTTTGTTTATATTYTTAAAAATCTAACTTTATAATTCTAAGTTAGTTCTTAGTAAAAAATAAATATTTTTGTTTATTAAAAATAAAGTTGTATTAATAAATTATTTTTATTATAACACAATTGTAAAAATAAATTAAAAACAATAGAATTTCGCAAAAATTTCATTGAGAGTTCATTTTAAACCACAAGTACTGTATCATTGATTAATATAAACACATTGACTAATATAACACATCATCTTTAATATTTTTCACATAATTATATTGAATTAATTTTAATTTTAATTATTAAAAACAACATTTAACCCAATTATTATAAATAATAATAGTGTTATTGAATTGTAGACAAAAAAAACTATATTCACTGGTTTATTATGAATAGTTTTATATCCTTGATATCTTATTATACCTAAAGTTTATCTAAAATTTAATTTAATTTTTGTAAAAATAATTAACTTAATAACTAAAATGATTTTTAAAATCAGTATTTAAAACTATAATATTTTTARATTAATACAATATGTTAGTACTACAGTATACTGTAATAATAGTATAAATAGATAGTTTATTACGATATAAAACATTAAGTGAACAATTTTTTAACCGCAAGTGTTTATTATTTAATATTTGTTAAAACTTTCGATTCATTTAGCAATTAAAAACAATAMAGTAAAATGTTTTAATAAGCTATATTAGGGTTAAATATAAATTAACAAAAAAGCCAACAAAAGAAATAATATTGTTATTGTTTGTTAAATTTTTTTCAAATGATTTTGTTTTAATTCATTAATATATTTATTTTTTATTTGAAAAAAATAAATGAATAAATATGYCAGAAAATATGCTTGATACAAATTGTAATAATACAGAAAATTTATACAATAATCAAAGTAAATTTGTTGAAAAATCCAAATGGTCCAAAATATGCTATACACTCATTATATATTGGATTCATATGACTTTTGTAAGTTTCATTTTTTAGTTTTTTATTATTTTTTTTAATTATAAATAATTTTATTTAATATTACTTCAGGGAATTTCGTTGGCCGTAATGGGGCCAACATTTGTAGACTTCAAGTATCTAATGCACACATCAATGAACAATATATCATTTTTGGCCATTTTAGCTAATAGTGGTCATATGTTTGGATTTATATGTAATATTTATTTAATTTCATGTTATTTTAATAGTGATAAAAATAATTATGTTATYTAGTTAGTTTTTTCTACAAATACATCGATCGTCAAATTGCTATTATAATATTATTAGTATTCAGTGGACTGGCATTTATTTTTATGCCATATTCACCAAACYTGTGGTTACTTTACATATTAGTYTGGATATCCTTCTTTGGTCAGGGAGTGGCCGATATCGGCAACAATGTGTGGCTCATAGAGTTGTGGCAACAAAAGTGCGGACCGTTTCTTCAAATGTCTGGCTTTGCCTACGGAATCGGTATTATTATTGGTCCACTTATTGACAAACCATACCTARCGGGTCATTTGACTGCAAATACAAGTACTAGTGTCACAGATTGGTCACTGATTGATGATAATGAACGCAGGAGTCAATTAAAGACTCCTTATTATATCAGCGGAATTCTTACATTAATTGGTTTGCATATCATCTTATTATTACAAATAATGTATTAATAAATAACAATTTTGTGTAATTTAGGGGCTTTAATGCTATCAGTGATGTTAATATACAATAAATATCAATACAAACAACAAAACAATTACGAAGATTTCGAAGACAACAATATGGCGACGACTAAGAAGAGATATTCTCTCTATTTATTTGTATCACTAAACGGATTATTTCTGGCATTTTATATGTCAACTGAGATTCTATATCTTGAGTTTATATCAACATATCTACAATACATACCATTGAAATTGTCGGCCAAAAAGGCAGCAGAAATAGCCTCGACGTCAGCTCTTTGCTATACAATGGGTCGCGGAATCAGTGCTCTCATAGCAATCAAAGTAAAACCACAACATTTGATACAAAGTCACTTCTGTATCATATTTATTGCAATGTTTGTCATTATATTGGGTCAAAGCTCACAGACATTTGTATGGATCGGCTGTTTGAGTGCCGGTATTGGCTTTTCACCCATATATGCGGCCACTTATAGTCTAATCAAACAACATATGGAAGTGAACGACAAAATCGCCGGATTCTTGTTGTTCGCTACCGATTCCATAAACATATGGATTCCATATTTCTTAGGACTCTATATTGAGACCATTCCCAACCTTTTCATATATTTAATTATCTTCAATGTCTCCATAAGTGTTGTTATATTTGGTTTCATTGTTTTTACAGTTTATTATTTTAAATTATAAATTATATATAAATAACAATCAATTTTTATATTATTGTATATAATTTTTATGTTATAAATAAAAATATRAAAATTATTATTATTATTATTTTGTCTATAGTTTATCATTTAATCATTAACTGGTCATTAATTGAAGTCATCAACAGGTAGTTGTGTATCAATAGTTGCAAAGTCTTGTAATAATTGTTTGAATTCAAGAAATCTAATAGTTTTGTAATATTTATGAAATTCAATGAAAAATGTCAAAATGTAAAGAAATATCTATTAATAAATTAAAAAATTAAATTAAAGTGTCTATTCATAAATAAATTAGTTTTTATTGTGTTATACAAAAACAATCACTGAATTCAAAAGTTATTCCCTTAACTATAATCAGTCATCACTTACCCGATAGTTGTTATAATATTGACTCCAATATCTTGAGCTGAAAACAAATAGCTGTAAAAAATAAACAACTAATACAAGAACATCAAAACATTAGCAGATTCACAATATTGTGTGTGTATGAGGTGGGGGTGTGTGTGGGGWGGGGAGGAGAGGGGTATGGGGTGGGGTATAAGACTGTAGAACCGAGAGCGCATTATAACAACTGACTCTCAATAGACTCAATGGTCTTAATATAATATTTTGGCAGTTTTTAGGCAACTTTTGGTCTACTCATCGATATTGTCATCAACTAAATGGAGTCGACATTTGATTATAAGTTTTGTTAATCGATGTCACTGTTAAACAGATCCAACTCTATAGACAACAAATACGAAATCGTGTTTTTTGTCACTCTCTTGCCTCGGAGTCCAACCCATATTGTCATTACAATGTCACCACTTCTGGCAGAGAATTTACATAAATGTCTACTCCTATGTAATCCATCAATCAATGGTAATTTACTGAATTGAACATGGACAATTTATATATATATATAAGATATTATGTTAAATTAGATTATATTGTATAATATTAAACTTAATGTATACATAATTTATTAACATTTAATAATTTTATAATATTTTCAATAAATATTTAACTTTATATTCAAATCATATATTATTAATATAATAATTATTTATTTTTAAAATCTTACTCTTAATTGTGGAAACATTTTGAATACAATTGTAGTTTTTTGAGTCCAAATGCATTGTTATCTGTGGTTTGGTTTAGTAATAAATGAAAGGTTTGTTTAATATGTCGACACATATATTGAAGACTTATAAATGTTTATCATAACTGTCTTACAGTGTGTTTGTATTGTCTGTAAACCACTTTCAATGGCAGTGAAGCCTTCATATTATGCGCACAACTATTGCAACTATTTTATGAATATTCATAAAGTTTTTAATATATGATGTAATCATTAGTATAGAGACTATATAGTGTATAATATTTATGTTGCGATCCAATAGAGTCTCAAATGGGAACCGAGTGAACGGTTTGGGTATTAGAGAGACAAATGGTTACAAATTTTGATAAACAATTCAAATAATTTATTAATTACACTAAACTTTGCAAACATCTGTAAAATAGTATCAAAGCTTTAATGTAGAAAGTAGTCATACATTCATATTGAATAACTTATAGTTTAATTATCATTTAGTTAACAAATTTGTATTAATATCAATACTTTCTAACATATTATAAGCATAATTATATTAAATATGTAAGATTAGCAGTTTTATAGATAGTTTATTATTATTATATAATTTTCGGTAGTTTTGTGTTGAGGAGTCGGGTTTGGGTGTCAGCCGTTTGTCAAAACACTAGTCTTAAGTTTTTAGTTTTTCTGGCAATTAATGGGACACTTGATTTGATTAACTGATTAAATAAATTGGATTAAATACAACAAATATTAATAATTAACTAATAATATAATCAATAGAAAACATATAAAAGTACATCAAAATGAATATATTTCTTAAAACTGGATCCTATATCCCATTTAGGCATTTCATACTCTATGCTCTTGAGGTCTATGGCTTCGGTAGTCACCAATCAAAGGTCATATCCATTGTTTCCATTAGTACTCCAGTAGAGGATTAAGTATTGAGGCAACAGTTGTATTCATAAATTATAAATTGTTTGTTAAAGTTTTGTCAACTCTGAGATCGGTTACTGTTATTGATTATTGCGCTTAAAGTCTTAGATTTTGTATTCACTGATAGATTGGTTTTTTATAATTCAAATAAACATTGAGAGACAACAAAGCTATAAATTGGTTAATAAAAAAACAGTTGCCTCTAATAGTGGACAACAACTTATAAACAAAATATATATTTATGGGAAAGTTTTTTTTAAGTAAAAACAAAACTATTTATTATTTAAATTAAATATTTGTCTCATGTTTTACAAATAGTTCATAGATTGATAAAAAAWATATTARTTTCCATTGTTTTTGTTAATTCAAAAATAACTAAAAGTTAGTCAATTTTCATACAATACTTTAAACATATATTTATAAGAAATATATAAWTATTTAAAATGTCATTATCTAAAAATATTTTTAATCAAATTAAAAATATATAATTTAWTWATTTATTAAACTTGATATTTTAATTAATTTTGAATAAACTTTTAAWGTTTTTAATTGAAAAATTTATGACTAAACATATAAACATTTATATTTATTATATGTATTACATATACTATAATATATTTTTAAATTTTACAATATATTTATTAACTTTTAATAATTAACAGTTGAATTATAAAAATAATGATTTACTTTCAGTAATTACATGAAAAATATACGATAATTTATAAGCATATAATTAAGTTAACTTGATAAATTGTTGATACTTTAACATTGTATAGTAATTTTAATAGTAGCTTTTGAATTATTATTACTATATACTGTCTATATAATGTATATAATGTTAAAGTATCAGGAACAATTTTATCATGTTAACTATAATTATTGATGAATTAAGTCATGTTTAATATACAATGTGTATAAATCGTTGGTGTAAATTAATATTAATATTAAATTTAAACAAAAATTAACTTTATATTAAAATATAATATTTAATATAATAATTAATAGTTAATAATATTGACTAAATATTGTAATAAAACCGGATACTGTTTTAATGACATGCATAAAATATTTTCTAATATTAATTTAAACTTAAATGCAAATTAAATTTAAAATATAACTAGAAAAATAAATATTGAAAAATAAAAGTAAATATTTAATGTATATATGAGTTAATATTGGATAAGTAGTATATTTAAAAATTTTAGTATCAAATATAAACAAAACACTAATGGGAATAGATCTATATTTTTAAAGTTACATAAATTTTGAAAAATAAAATATACAGAAAACATTGAGATAGAGAAATATGATATCAAAGCTACTAAATTAATATTGTTATAATCAACATTCAAGACTACTAATCATAAAAAATAATTGTATCTTTCAAAAGTAACCAAAAAATATGATAATATTGAATATTACAATAAATATGAATTGATAAATACTGTATACACTATTAGAATATTTAAAATATTTTACTAAATTTATGTTTCAATAAATTGACCTGTCTAACAATTTTTGGGGTATATGTCATTCTACAATATCTTACAGAAATTACGTTCAGCTAAAACTTACGTTCGGTTAAATCATTGTTCACCCATTACCTAACCCGGTGTATGCCTCGCAACCCAACCCTATTTATAATGGTATTACACATCCCTAATCAATAAACAATCATTAAGTTAATATACATTCAATTAATATTGAATATATTAGTCTAATTTTATTAGATGACTATTTAATGTGTTATGTGTCGATCAAAAAATTACGTTACATTGTCAAACATATATGACATTATGGCCCAATTTTTTAATTTTTCATAATTGACTTAACTTTTTATTAATTAATTCTAAACTAATTAGATATTCATAAATATTATACTATGATATAAATACTGTATAATATATTATATACAGTAATTATAATATAAGTTTTCTTTTAATAGCAAATCATTAGAGATTTAATATCTTTTATATTTACCGATAAATTTATATACTCTCTATAATTAACATAAAAGACATCATTCATCAAATATATTGTAAATTTATAGATCTTTTTTCGAATCATATCTTTTAATATCATGTAATAATTTATTTTATTTTACAAAATAAATATAAATATTTATAATATTTAGTGTCAACTGACTTTTAGTTTACTATTAACAAACATACTATATATATATATATATACAGTATATTATACATATTATAACCTTTTGTATAACTATAGTGTAGAATAACATTCAATATCTTTACAGTTTACATCTGACTTATATTTAAATAATTGTATAAAAATAAAATTGAAATAATTAATAATAAGTTTTGACTAATTTATTATTTATTATAAATTAAATTATAAATTTTTATACATATATTCAGTGTTATTATCAATGTTTTATTTAATTTTCAAGAATATGTTTCTAGTTTTTCAACAATTATTTGTTAAATTTTCAAATTGTTGTAAAATTATAATTTCAGACTCGGATAGAGTATCAAAATGTATAATAGAAATGCCTGTAAAATAATGTCCTATTTTTTAATATTTTGTTTTTTACTTTTCTAATAAATTTAGTTTACATTTAGTTGAGTGGGTAAGTGATTAAATGAGTAAATATGATAAATTATTCCGAGTCAACAATTAAATAAGTTTAAATATTAAATATCTAAAAGTTTGCTCTGACAATGCTATCTAAGATTTTTAACTACAATATGATAGTATAATATATATTATATTTGTAGTAAACTGAATGTTATATTTTATTGATATAGATATCAAACAGAATTATAATATAATTAAATAAAAATTACATTTAAAATTTATTGCATGATTTTTTGACTAATATTTTAAGTGCTTTGAGTTTAATATGTTTTGTTAGTATTTTAAATATTCTTCATTAAATTAGAATATAAATTATATAAATAAATATAAATAAAGTTAATTAGAGTATTACCGGTAATAGTTAGTACACATTTCACTTAAAAATTTAAATAATTTATGAATAATTCAATCTATAATGTACTGACTCGCTATGCTTTTAGCAAAACTATAAAATCAGTGGTCATTTCAAACATATTAAGAGACATTTCATATGAGTATATAAATCACGAGTAAATGAGTTAAGTTTTAAACAAGTGTTTCAAACAATTGATATCTAATGTTTTAAATTGTTTAATAATAATCATGTATTCGTTAGTAATTGCAATTATGATTGTGTTTGCATTTATGCCATTCATTATAACTCAAACCACTAGAGCCGAGTGTCTAGAGTTTGGTAAACAACTCGAAGATGCGGGAGGTTTGATATAAACTATCAATTTTATAAACTAATGATTAGTAAATTAGTTTATATTTTTAATTTTTAAGTTGTTTGTGTTGTTTAATGATAAATTATAATTTTTTAATTTTGTATTATTGATTGACTTTTTATTTTATGGAAAATCTAATTTATTAATATTTAGATAATTTAAAATATAAAAAATTGTATTATATTTATATTAAATTAAAATTATTTGCGTGTGTGTAATGTGAATATTATAGTTAAATAAAAATACATATAAATTAAATGAATTAATACGAAATTCAAACATTATATCAAATGAAATATAGGTATTCAAGAATTTGTTGAGAAAAATCAGCTTAAGTTTGAAACGGTTTATGAAATATATAAAAATTGTTTCATTAATGACGAAGGATTTCGTTTCAAGAAAAGCCAATCTCTAACCTATCGATTGCCGCATCGGATCCCCATTTGGATCAAACATTATTAATAAATTTTTATTAAATATATAATAAATATAACTAAAAAAATTCTTGTTATTAATTACTTTTTTTGACACAATTAATAAAATAAAAATATTTAAAAAATAACATTGACCTGATAATTAAAAACAATGAYATAATATATTTTTCTCAATTATTTGTAGTTTATTTGTTTAAATGCCAATAGCAATAAAAAATGTTTATTAAAATTGTTTATTTTAATTAAAGTATTACAATTAATTTAATGATATTAAATTAATTACTTATCAAAATAAAATTAAAGTATATTAAATTGTTGTATTACACAAATATTTCTTTTATTGAATATTATATTTCTATAATTATTAATATTTTATACAATACAATGTATAAACATATTAGTTAACATTATTTTATTAATAAGATATAAAATAGTGTAAAGAGAAACAATAAAATTTTCTATAAAAAATGATTATTTAATTTAACTGAAAAAACTACTTCAATACGTATTATAAGACAATTAAAATTTTTATATTATATATTAAGTTATCTATAAGTTTGTAGACATTAGTTATAGTGTCGTCTTTTGATAAATTGATGTCATATCTTAAGTTCAGATAAATATTTACTTCATTTATTCTCAGGTGTAATGAATGACTTATAATGATTGGCTTTTAAAATAAAATACTGAAAATACATTTTTTTGTAAAATACATAATCTATATATAAATTAAAAATTTATATAATCAAGTTTCATAAATTTTCATGTCTTATAGTTAGACATTAGTTTAAGAAATATTTAAATACATTTTTGTTTAGTATATGTCTGTACTAAACATGATTGGATGGATGATAATCTTAACGTTATTACCTTTAGTTATGTCCAATACTAATGTTAAACGTAATTGTATGACATTAGGCAATGAAGTTAAAAGTGCTGGTGGTATGTAATGTATAATTTATATTTTATTATAATTTTAAAAAATTATTATTAGTTACTTAAAATTTTATACAACATTTATAATTGTTATTAATTATTAATACCAATTAGAAATATAAATTAATTAATATTTTTTAATTAATATATATTRTTATATTGTTAGTTGATATTTCTAGTAGTCTGAACTTTAATAAAATCAACTATAATGTATTTAATGTGTATGTATTTTAAAATTTTATATGTAAAAATATTGTCTTTACATATTTCATAGATATTATTTAAATTAATAATATATTTTATATTAAATTCATACATTTTCCATAAATTAATATCAAATCAACCATAACAAATAAAAATATCAATTTTCAAGATTTTATAGTTTTAAAATCTTCTAAACAGTATATACATTATTTTCCAAAATCAAATTATACTGTTAGCGGGTTTATATATCTATGGTAATACAAAATATTATCAAATTTGGCTAAAATGTTAAGAGATTCCCTGGAAACTTACCATAAAATTTTTATAAATTTATAATTAGTAGTTTTAAAATTATAGAAAAAATGTAAAAAACTTTGAATATAAAAACAAATTTGTCTATTGTTTAACACTTAAGTGAATACCATTAACTCTCGCTATTGATTCAATTTAATTTATTGAACATATAACACCAAATTGAATGGAGTCCACTTGAGTGTTCAATTGATGTACACTTACTAAGTTAGTGAGTGTTAATCCATTGTATTCAATGGAAAATATTGTATTTTTTAACTTTTCACATTTTAAATGTAATTTTAAAACTATTAATTATAATTTTATAAAAGTTTTCGGGGAGTCTCTTAATATTTTAGCCAAATTTGATAATATTTTGTATTACCATTGTTGAGATATAAACCCGCAAACAGTAAAACTTGATTTTGGAAAATAGTGTATATATTATAACAACAAAATTTTAATTTCAAATTAAATGTCTTATTTGAATTTGAATTAATAAAATATATAATTTAAGTATTATTATTGTAAACAATTATGTGGTATTTATTTTTATTCTTTAAACACAACAATATTTCACAATTTAAAGAATTAAGTTATTTTTAAATCACTAAATAATTTATTTTAGATATACAATAAATAATAACTAATTAAGTTTTATAATGACTTACAGTATATAGTTATTTTAATAAACATTAATGAATATAATAATACTAATAATATATTTTAAAAAATTGTGTAAAAGGTGTACAAAACTACGCCAGAGTTAATGGTTTGATGTCCGATAAGATCTATAATCTATTGAGAGATTGCTTTATGAATGACGACGGCTTCAGATATAAGAGAAGAATCAAAGATAATATTGATATCGCTTTCAAACCGAATACCATTGAAAGGCAATCATTTGATTTCATATAAATATTTATTTGTTATATTTTTTTAATAGTATTATATTTATTAATTTACTAATAATTTATTTCTAATAAATAAATAGGACATTGAGTTCACAGGACAGTGTAAAATGCATTTAATTAATAATTAAATTCAGTTTACAATCAAAACAATTTGCAAAAATCTAAAAATAAACGTATAAATTGAAAACCATATAAATTTTATTATTGATTACAACACAACCAACAATTACATTGTTTATTGTCAATAATAATTAATTAATATTAATAAAATGCTTTTTATAAAAAGCTAAGTAAAATAGTGTTAAATTTACATTAATAATAACATGCTCTGAAATATTTATTCAATAAAAGTTTTTTTAAATTAAATTTTATTAATCTTTTATAATTAATTAATTTTTATTATAATTTTAAAACACAATTCATCTAAAGGTAAAAATATGTATTACTTATGAAACAATAATGAATGTCATAAATATGAAATCTTATATGTAATTACAATAAGATATTCAAAATTTTGGTATAATTTATTTACAAACTATAGATCACATTATGATTGAATAAAATAACTTTTGAAACTTAATATAACAATATTCTACCAAAAAGTAACTTTTTAAAGATTGATAAAATAAGATTATTATTATATAAATTCAATGAATCAAATAAAAATATACTGTCATTAAAATTATAAGTAAAGACAAATTGAGAGTAAAATTGTTTAAATTATAAATTTACATTTAATATCTGCATATATTCATATAATACATTTTCAATTTACTTATTATAACCGTCACCATGATGCTTTTGAAGCTAATTTTGTTTAAGTAACATTATAGAYACATTGGTAAAACAACCATGATGAATTAGTCTATATAGCTGAGTCTTTCTAAATGTAATCTTGATAAATTTTTCATTTTAAATATCATACATCTTATTATAAATCATTTATTTAAAAAATCTATATTTATAATATAAGATTTTAGTAAATATATTAAAATTTGTATAATAGAAAATAAATATACTGTAGTTTATTTAATTAGTTGCAAAATATCTATTAAAATACTAATTGAATCAATTATACATTAACTGAAAAACGTCATTTTATGTAATATTAATTAATGTAAATTAATATTTATTAAACTATTGATTATATCAACCTTTGTTCTAAGCATTACAATCTAAAGTAAAATTTAGATTTGAGTTTATTATGAATTAAATTAATTAATAAAATTCTACATAACTTTATTTGTGGGTAATTTTTATTAAGTAAATGTATAAATTATCCAGTATAATTATTAATTAAAAAAACTACCATGGTAACATTTAGTTGACTCTCAGATCTTTAGTAATCATTAGGTAAAGTATTAATCCTTATAGTCTAAAATAATTTACTTTTATTTTTTTATAAAAAAAATATTAACTTTATTAATATTTTATTATAACGTTTAACATTTTCATATAATAAATAATAAATAAAATCTTTTAAAATTATTTGCGTAGTATRATTGTTGAATACATTAATAATAAACAGTATATTAATTATTGACTTTTCAATGTTTTTATTGAGATAAACTTATTTATATTTAAGTTATTTAATTTAGTAAATTAAGCTTTTTTTAAATCTGTTTTATTTTTAATTAATAATTAAATAAGTATTTCAAAATTTTGTATGCATTAAAATTATTTAACAAACTAAGACATTTAAAATTAAAATGTTTTTCATTAGAAATACTTAATTTGAATAAATGATATTTTGTTTTATTTTGCTTTTAATGCTAATTTAATGTTTTTTTAGTTTAAAAATTATGTTGAGATATTAATGGACTATTTTTTAATACAATAATCTAATTTGAGAGTTAAATACGATAAGTAATAAAAAAAACTGATAAAATCCAAACAAGAAATGCGCACATTTGGAGTCATATAAAAATATATAACGATATCTTGATTTTGATCATAGGATTGAATCAAATTATGATAATATCATATCAAACAATACTTTGTCGCACTTATATTATGGTTAAAGCGATGTTGTCTTCAGTAAAGTTTGTATGGATTTTATTGTTTGTCTGTTCCACATATGTTGTCACCAATTGTACGCCACTCAGCAAATGTATGGCATTTGTTCAGAGCCCAGGAATCAATGGAAAAGCAATAGCATCTCAAAGCAATGGTTTGAACTTTTTTTTTATAAATATCATTTTATATTAATTTTATTAATTTATTGTGATATAACTAAAATAATTGTTTATTTGAAAATTTAAATTATAATTTAATTTAGAAATGAATGTAATAAAGAAAGCAATGGATAATTCATTGGCAAACAATTTAAGGGCTTGTCTTTTAAACGAAGAGGGCTTCAGATTTAAAAAAGGTGTGAAATTGACTAAAATAACGCCATTATTGACAGTTTCGCGGCTAAAGAATTATCTTCTTGATTAAGAATATTCTGTATGAGTTGTTTGATATTTATTTTATTAGTCAACACTACAGATCTCATACTTATATATATATATCTAATAAATAAATTGAAAATATTTAAGTTTATGATATAAATGAACTGAAAAAGTTAATCCAATTTATAATATTGGAATTATTAAATTTCAATTAGCTAATAATTATCAATATATATATAGATTGTAAACTTATTTTGGATAATTTATGATAACAAATAAAATTATACTTATTTAACAAACAAAAATTGTTATTTTTATTTTACTTATTAATTTAAATGTATGATATATTCAACAACAAAAAAAACTTTGAAAGATTTTTACTGGAAATTATGTATATTTAAGTGTATATGACATACACTGTATGTTCGCATTTTTTACAAATTTCAAAATTTTCACTTTAGATGCGAATAGACCATCATAAAAGTTAAATAGGATTATCTATAGAGTAATATATAATCTATTGATGAACATGTGGTTCAAATGGTCGCCAAATATTTTTTAATCAAAATTTTATTTACTTTTTTTAATAAATTCATATTATTCATAAAAGTGGGTGACTGTATATTTTGTTAAGTGTATTATAGATTAAATAAGTAATTTTATAAGTTTAGGGGAGTGAGGGAGTGGGGAGAGTGGGCTAGAAATAAAATGGGTGAGTTAGACAAAATGTCCAGACATAACAATTAGATATATAGTATGAATGCATTGTTTAGTAAGTTTGTTCTGGTAATGCTATTCTAGCATTTTCATGATTTAATTTAAAGAGAGTATTGAAGTAATAATAATAATAAGAGTAAACAAAATGATAAATCAGAAAATATCAATAATAAAAGTGATTTTAATTTATAGTCATTAATAAATAATAGGATATTCATAACTCTAACATAACTGTACAACAAATAAGCAATTGTGTGATTATATATAATAATTAGTATTTAAGTTATGGTTCATTACATATTGGTATCACAACTTTAAGTATAACACTCACAATAATATTATAATAATTGTAATTATTTTTACGTTAATGTTTTGACAAATTAATAAATTAGTTATTTAACAAAATTTAATACATTATAATAAATTACATAATATAAGTGATTTATTTCAAATTTTATAAAATTACTAAAATTTATTATATACATAAATAATAACTATAGCTATACTGTAGATAAATATATATTTGTTTTAATACAGATATTGTAAAAATGTTAGCATTTATTTTCATCACTATATCTCTATATATATAATGCATTTAATTATTATTGACATTTAAAGAGTAGTTTTTAAAAAATTATGACATTAGTAAACTATAACAATTATATTTTRCAATTTAGACACATCTAATTTACATTAGTTTGTTATGTTTTATATAATATTATATAATTATATAGTTTTCAAAATGTTGATATCGCTATTTGGTATATCAATATCATATTTATTTATATTTAAAAAAAATAAAAACATTTCTCTAAAAACAGTATTAATAATATACTGTATATAATACAGTAGTATAGTATACTATAGTCTATAGTACATGTAGTACTGCAATAGTATTTTATGTTAAATACTAAAAAAAATTGTATATTACATAAAACTACTGTATATGTTATTTGTATGCTTTATAACAATATAATGCAATTTTCTAATATTATATTATATTACAATTATATTACAATTATATATATAATATATAATATATTAATTTATATGAATCTATTGACAAATTATTATACAAATGTATATAACATTTGAACGATTTGTTAATTTTTTTTTCTCAATATTCCATTAGAATTAACAATAAAAGCCAATCACTGTATTAGACAAACACATAAATAATGTGTTGAATTAACATTACATTCAAATACCCTATAGCTGTGAATCTCTATAACTAACTAATATAATGAATAGCACACAAAATAATTGTGTTCGACGTTATTGATTGCCATTGAATGACATGATTACAGTATATTAGAGCTTAAAGTTTATGAGTTTATTGAGTGAACAAATCAGTGGTAAATAAATCGTGAGATTTAAATGACACTCAAATTGTTGTTATGATTAATGAATTGCATTTTATAGACTATAATGAGTGATAATAAAGTGGAAATAGACTGTCCCGACGGTAATAGTGTCCAAAGTGGTCAAACTAGCGATACTCAACACTTACCAGTAGTAGAGCACAGGGAGACAGACAATGAAGAGGACAGTTGTGAGGAGGACTACGAAGCTGTCAATGAATGCGTCTTTTGGCACGTAATCACACTTTTTATTACATTTTTATTTTATTTATTTATTTATTTAATATTCATTTGAATATTGCATTGATTTCTATGACTTATAATTGACTTTTACATTGAATTATATCATACATTATATATGATATCATATATTGTTTACTTCATTTACATTCACATGATATACGCATTCAACTTATATTCAATTCATACATACATTTCAATCATACTATCTATTAATTGCAATGTTATATAAGCTATATATCAAACACAATACTGTATGTTATCATAAAATACTATATATTTAATGGTTTCAATTGATATCAAATTGATTAGTCAATTGATTAAATTCTTAATTTTCTGTATATTATCTATTATTTAAAAATAATTCAACTATTGTTTAACTTTACAATCTTTTTAATAGATATAACTTTATCCTTATTTATCAACAGTGCTATAAATATAATGCATTTTTTAATTGAATATTAAAATATTGCTAAATTAACTTTTATATAGCAAATACAATATTAACTTAATTTAATAGATTAATAAAATATTTCATAAAATAATTGATGACAATGATGATGATTTGTAATATCATATATATTAATAATATATACAATATAAATATGATGATAAATACTGTAGATTAATATTGTTATGTAATTATTATAAATCTCTAACACATTGAACCAAATAAGTAATGCTAACAAATCCTAAACAATATGCAGTAAATCTACTAATAAAACACATTTATCCTATAGTAGAGCTATAGCTATACGGCATATACTGTAGTAATAGCTGATAATATACAGTACAGATAGAGTATACTTTCAGTAGGCAATCACTTATAGAAAATAAATCAATCATTTATTTTTATAGCTTATTATTTAATTTCTATAATATGGATATAAATTTTCTTAATTATATTTTGATGGTATAAATTATAGTCATGTAAACAATAAAAAAAATTGATGACTTATAATAATATATGTAAAAAGATTGAAAGTATAGTGTATTATATTTATTGAATCACTAGATTGAGGCAACAATTGATAATGTATTTACACCGGAAATGTTGGTCGAGATCGAGCATTCGGCTGAAAAGTATTGGTTGGCCACAGTTATGGGCGCTTTCGGTCAGTTATTATCATTGAAATGGGAAGGGGCTGAGGGGGAGCCTGACTTCTGGTTTGACTTAAAGAGTCGCAAAATATTTCCGGCCGGTTATTATAGAAATAAAAGTAACTATAAGATTGAACCGCCGTCTCATCTCAAGTTAGAGACCAAGAATATAGTGGACGTAACTATGAGATACTTTAAGAACCAGACATCGACTGCCAATTGTGTTAAACTTAGTTTGTTTACCAAATATGGTTTCACTAATATTACCGATATTTTTATGCCTAATATGGTTGTCCTGGAAGTGTCGCATGAGTTTGAGCCACACAAGTATTGGTTTGCAAGGATTGTTCATAACTATGGAGGACGTCTTGCTCTTCAATGGGTCGAWTCTGTTGATACAACAGAAGATAGCAAAGAGGATGACGATTGCAAACGAGAACTATTCTATCTTTATTTTTGTAGTCCAAGAATCAATTATTTAGGTTATGCCAACTCTAGAGCCGCTGACGACTATTTCTATTCTGTGCCCAAAGAGAACCAAAATAATTCAGAAGATATTATTGATAAATATTTGGCCGAAAGTTCTTCAGAATTGAATGAATTTATTAAGACTGTTATATCAAATGCTAAAGAACTTCAGCCAAAGTTATACAAACCGGGATCTCTTGAACAGATCAGACCTAATGATAGAGTACTGATATTTCCCACTGAGTTATTGAAGTTATGTCCGGCCACTGTTGAAAGTGTTGCTATGGATGGCAAACATTTGGTGGTTAAATGTGATTCCGATGATTTGATTCGTTTTTCATACCCTAATCACGACAACCAATGTTTTTTGCCTTTGAATTGGGCCGATGACCACCAAATTAGTGTTGACAATGGAGATGGAGGTTCCGCCAAATTGAATGGTAGAGGATCCAGAGGTGCACCCATTTCTTTGCTTAAAGATTCACGAATAGATGAATTTGAAATTAATAGCAAATTAGAAGTGGTTCACCCAAAAGATAACACTAAAGTAAATATTTAAAGAATATTTGTGTTTTGTATAAATTTTATCAAATTATTGATTAGATATGTGAGGGAGTGATTATAAGAGTGACGCCACCACTCATATGGATTGAGATCGCATCCGACACTATCACTGTTTTGCCTTATAATTCAACTGATATCTATCCGCTCGGTTGGTGTCATAACAATGGTCTCGAAGCTCACAAATTGTTAAAATCACAGAAAAAGACGTCTAAATCAAAAGATAAAGACTTGAAAGTAAAGGAAATAGATGTGAACACTGATCCCATACAGAACAATGAAGACGACATTAATATTCCGTCTTCTCCATCGAGTATTTTCTAATTAAATGTTTGATTTGTGTATAAATTTTAAATAAATTGTATTTAAAACAGTGACTTCATCGCAATCTCAGAGCAATTCCAAGTCATGGTGTCCCCGCATTTTTATAAATCACAAGTGCTTTACTGGACCAGCTCTTTCAAAGTCAAAAATATGTGAATTACCACAATATTTAGGTCCCGGACCTATTACTTTAGTGTTGCAAGAAGTGATCTCAAAGATAATACAAGTGGCTTACGTTCCCAATCGAGTGCTCAATGAATTGAGTTCAGAAAGTTTTGAAGAATTGCTTCACAAGAAAAATATTAGAAAAACAGATGAAATTATGTTTAAAGTAATTATTGTATTTTGTTTATTACAAAATATGAAATTGTTTTATCATTGTTTGTAAATTCAGGCAAAATACCAGAAGCGCACATATCGTGATGATGTGTTAGTAGCACTAAATGCAGACCAAGTAGAAGAATACTGCCGCTGTGTTTGTGGTCATCTCAAGTGTTGCTATAACTTGTTTTCTCCCTTTCAATTTAGCGGAGATGACTGTCCATCTAATTGCAGAGGTTTGTCAATAAATATTATTTATGAGTTAATTATGCAAATTAATAATTATCAATATATTATGTATTAAGGTTTAACAAAATCAAATAAGTATTTAAAAAGAGCCGGTTATTATAGAGATAAGGCTCGACACAATCGTATGGCACAAAACAAGAAAAAAATGACATTATTACCAAATAATGAAGAAAATGACAATCAAAATGGCAATAATGATAATGAAGATAATAAAGTTCAAAATAGTGATAAAAATGATACCAAAACACAAACAGTTGAACAAAATCGTATGTTTTTTATATTTAAATATTTTATTACATTTTTATTATATATTTTATTTATTACACCGACAGCACAACAACAGCAGCAGCAACAACAACAACAACAACAAACAAACGACGGCTCTAGTGATGAATCGACAAACAATGACAACATTCCCATTGATGCCGAAGAACTTCATAAACAGCAACAACAAAAAGAAATGAACAAAAATGCAACAAAAGCTCAGAAAAAGTCAAAACTTGGACCAAAAGGTAAAAAACGAAAGCGTTCTGTAGTTGAGGAAGAGATTGAAGTCGACGAAAATGAAGACATCGATAATCCTATGTATTGGTCGATAACAGATGTCTACGATTACCTCAAGAAAAGCGATTGCTTTATGTTTGCGCCCACTCTTAGGGAACATGTATGTCATATTTTATTAATTTAATATAGAAAATAAGTAGACAATCAATAATAACTAATTTTAAATATAATTACTTTATGGAACAGGAGGTGGACGGTGCAGCACTTTTATTGTTGGACTACAACACCATAACTAGTCTTTTATACTCTGGTTATACCCGCCAGTACTGTATGGCTGACGCAACAAAACTGTCGACTTTAGTCGAATCTCTTCGCCATAAATGGGCCCGAATTTCAAAGAGGTTGAAGAAGTAATCAGATCTGATGGCATTGAAGAACAATCCATTTATTTTGCATATATCTGTCCATTAATTTCTAGTATATAGTAATATATTTAATTTTAAAGGTAATATGTATCACATAATTGTCTATAAGTTATAATAATTTGGTAATATTTTTATTGCCCTGGTTATTGAATTTTATATTTCATATATTTATATAATTTAACTTTACTTTCCGGTAATAGTTAATTATATAAATTTGTAAACTATTTAGAAAATTATAGCTATATTTAATATTTCGAAATTTCTTAGACAATTATTTAAGTATATATAACATAATTTTTGCAAAAAAAATCAACAATTATATACAATTATTGAAATACAATGTATAACATAAAATGTTTAAAAATAGTTATATAAAATTTCACTCAATAATTTGAATACATTTTCACATTTTTCATTCAATAGTTAATTAATGACACAATACGTGCAATTTATATAAAGCAAAACAATATAATCAGTTTATAATAAACCATTATCATGTTTAAATAAATTAATACATTTACCATTAAATCATTTTATAAAATATATATTAAATAAAATTGTTTAATAAATACGTTTAAAATTTGCGCTATTTTTTGCCGACAATTTATTTATGTTCACCAATAATGTAATAAATAAATCATTTATATTGCTCTATAAATACATGACAATTGAAGTTAATTGTGTTAAAAATATTCATAATAATATCTAATGTAATTGTATAACGAAATTTAAATACTTTAAATACATTACTTAAATGATTAATAAAAAATTGCAATATTTTAATGAAATAAATGATTAATTAATTGATTGAATTGATATTAATAAATATCCATCCGTTATAAATATAGTAACGTTGTTATTGAATGAAATATTAAGTGATAGAGTATTTCTATAGAATGCATGTATTGTTGTACTGTATGTCTGTATGTACTGTATATCGCCATTACGTTTGCCATACATTATAATTGACACAAAAGAGTTGGTTTTTTTTGGATTAAAGTCTACTTTAAAACTATAGACTAATAAAACAAATTGATTTAATTGAAAATATAATTAAATTAATTGTTTACTAAATATTACATTTAGATGAACAATAAGTTGGGGATAAAGTGATTACAATTGTCATATTAATTGCGGTCAATAAGGTATACCATTGTTATACTTAACCTTAAATAATAATTATAATAGACATCAATATTATATGACAATTATAATCACATGTAATATTTAGAGACAATTGAATCAATTGAATCAACAATTGATATTCATATATGAAAACTAATGTCTATTTTGTTGATATCATTAGATTATGTCCTCAACGTTGAGTGGCTTACAATCACCACAAAGTCAACAACAATCAGATCAATCACTTAGTCCTCCGTCAGCCAAACGTCACAAGACATCGACCACTGCGACCATCTCTCACACCAATAATAATAATAATAATAGTAATAATAATAATAATACAAACAATTGTCTCAATAATACCGCTGCTAATCATAACAACCACCTAATGGTAAGACTAATGTTATTTTTATTACTAAATCAAATACAAGTTATTATCTTATGATTTAATCAAATTAATATCATATATAATGACATTATATTTGGTGACTAACATTAGCATATTATATATGATATTATTATTTTTATCATTACAATGCATTATCAATTAATTATTATTAATATTGTTGTTAAATGCAATTTTTTAATTACCCATATTTGTTGAATATTATCGATAGATTTTATCATAAATTTTTTAGTTGATTGAATCGATTTTTACTTTAGTAAAATTTCAATGCTATTTACGATGACATTTGTTAATAATTGTTGTTAAGTTTGATTATTATAAAAAAATTATTATTTAAACAATAAATTATTAATTTATAGTTAATATTTGATTATGTAATATACAGATATAATATATATGACTCCATAGTAACGGCAATGTATTAAACACTAAATGACTACATTTGTATACCAATTGATTTGCTAATACTATTCATATTTCATAATATATAAGTAATGTGTTGTTTGTTTGTATTTATCACATGTTGTTAGACTAGAATTAGACATTTGAGACTATTTTAGTGATTTTTATATTAGTTTATTGTTATAAATGTTAAAATGCAATAATATGTTTATGTTAAACGATTTCAAATATTACTGTCAATATTGTATTACATATCAACTTTCTTTTAGTTTATCGTTTAATACTTCAATTATATTAATAAAATCATTATAACAATAGTATTGTTTTTAATTTGTTTCTCCAGTTGTATTGTCATTAGTGATGTACCGATTGCAAAATGCGCAATTGCATTGCTCGGAAATTGCGTGAAATTGCCGCAATTGCAAAAAGCTCGATTGCGAAAATCGCAATTGTAACATAGAAAAATTTATAATTTTTAAAAAATTAACTAAATTTAAATGGCAAAGCAATATGAATAAAAACATAAATTAATTATATAAAATTTAATTATTTTATCATAAAATGTTGCTATCTAAAAACCATGTAAAAATAATAATAAATTAGTAAATTCTCTTAATCTATTGTAAACAAAATTTTTAACGTTATCAAAGTTAATTTTTATACATTCCCTCATGCGCGCAATTTCAAGCAATTTCACGCAATTTTCCGCAATTGCGGCAATCGAAAATTGAATTGCGAAAAATTACCAACACTAATTGTCATTAATATTGAAGTATTTATTAGAATATTACTGATTTCACGCAAAACTTTTATATACAATTTTTCTTATATTATTGATTTGTTGTATTATAACATAAGACTATTTTTAAAAATATATATATTTTCAATAACAGTAATCATTTTATTAGTTTATATATTGATGTAAGAGTACAGTAGTATAAGCTATCTGTGAGCTAATTGACGTAATATTGATAAATATTTAACATTGTTTAGATTTATGTTGAAATTAACTATTTAAAGCTATTAAATAAAAATTGTTAAATGTTTAATAATTGAATTAGTATCAACACATTTGATTGAATATACTATATTATGAGTTGCGTACCATTATTGTGTAGTACAACATTAACCATGGTGAGTTTTATTATATCAAATTTATTGAAGTATTAGTTAAAATGATTTCTTAAACATTAACAATTAAACCGTGTGTTTATAATAAATGAATCAATTATTTGTCTTTTTGTTATTTAAAATAGTTTTGTTTTGTTTTTTACTTTTTATAATAATTACAGTTATTGTTGACTACATATGAAAAGTATGAGTCATATTGTACTTAAAATTAAGCGATTCATACATAATAGACATTTTAGGGGTCAATGTTTTGCTCCCAAAAACTTGTTTTACTAACTCTTCAACTGTTAAATAAAGACAATGACAATAGTGTTAACTCTTATTTTGTCTAAAAATATGAAATATTTTTGGTTTTAACAGAAATTTATAAATATAATTTTTGATTATCAAAAAGTGATTTAAATTATTTGATTAATATATAATCAATTGATATATTATAGGGAGAGATGGCTTCAAATGGTTCGGCAGTCAACTCACATAATGAAAACACTGGCGATGACATCGATGAGAGTCTATACTCAAGACAACTGTAAGTGAATTAATGGATAAAAATAATAATTTTTATAATAATAAAAAACATTTGATTTAGTTATGTTTTGGGTCACGACGCTATGCGCCGCATGGCTTCATCGGATGTTTTAATATCGGGAATGGGAGGACTCGGCGTAGAAATTGCTAAAAATGTAATTCTCGGTGGAGTCAAATCAGTTACTATTCATGACGAGCAAAATTGTCAAATAAGTGATCTCTCGTCACAGGTATGTCTTATTGTTGACAATAATATTACATAATAATTATGAAAATTTATTTTGAATTTATTTACCGTAGTTTTACTTAACCGAAGCTGATATCGGTGTTAACAGAGCCGATGCGTCATTGAATCGTTTAGCAGAATTGAATCCATACGTTCCGGTCGCTGCCTATACCAGCAAATTGATGACAGATTTTATATCTAGATTTCGTGTCGTTGTCCTCACAGAGTCGACATTAGCCGAACAGAAAGAGATTTCTGACTTCACGCACTCCAATGGCATTGCACTCATCATTGCCTCCACTAAAGGATTATTTGGGTATTTATTATTATATTCATTGATTTTAATTGTTGTTTATATTAATATATAAATTATATTGTTTTTTCTTAGGCAAATATTTTGTGATTTTGGACCTAATTTTCAAGTAATTGATTCAGACGGAGAACAACCTATCTCTTGTCTTATAACATCAGTGACTAAAGATGCCGAAGCAGTTGTCACAACACACGATGAGACTAGACATGGCTTTTCTGATGGCGACAAAGTGACCTTTCAAGAGGTTGAGGGTATGATTGAACTTAACGGTTGTGAACCCAAGACTGTGAAAGTGTTGGGTCCGTATACGTTCTCTATCGGCGACACTACCGGTTATCAAGACTATGTGAGGGGTGGATATGCTATTCAAGTGAAACAACCGAAAATTGTTAATTTTGTAAGTAATTGTTTTATTAAAATAATTATTTTAGTCATAATTGTTTACTATTTATGTGTTTCCATTAGAAAACATTGAAAGAATCGTTAGCTAATCCTGAGTTTGTATTGACTGATTTTGCCAAAATGGATCGCTCACCACAACTACACGTGGCTTTCCAAGCGTTACATACGTTTGTTGAGCGTCATCGCCGTCATCCCAATGTCTGGAATGAATCGGATGGCATTGAATTCCGCAAAATTGTTGGCGATATTTCATCCGAACAGAAACTGGACATTCAATTTGATGACAAACTTATAAAACTGTTTTCATATATAAGTCGTGGTAATATATCTCCAATGAATGCAGTGTTGGGCGGAACGGCTGCACAGGAGTTGATGAAAGCGTGTTCCGGAAAATTTGGTCCAATTTATCAGTGGTTATACTTTGATGCACTCGAATGTCTACCATTGGAGTCAAAAGATTATCCAAAAGAAGAAGAATGTCAACCAACAAACAGTCGATATGATTCACAAATTGCTATATTTGGTCAAAACTTTCAACAAAAACTGGCCAATCAAAAGATATTTTTAGTTGGCGCCGGTGCTATTGGTTGTGAATATTTGAAGAACTTTGCAATGATGGGTTTGGGCGCCGGACAAAATGGTGCCATTTGGGTGACCGATATGGATATAATAGAGCGCTCTAATCTAAACCGACAATTTTTATTCCGTCCATCCGATGTCGGCAAATCTAAATCAGTGACCGCCCAGAATGCGGCCAAGAAGATGAATCCTTCGATGAATATAGTGGCCCATCAGAATCGGGTTTGTGAGGATACTCAACAAACTTATGACGACATATTTTTTGAGCGCCTCGACTGTGTAACCAATGCTCTCGACAATGTCGACGCAAGGATTTATATGGATAGGAGATGTGTTTTCTATAGGAAACCATTATTAGAAGCGGGAACTTTAGGTAAGATAATTCGTTACAATAATTGTTTATTTTTTTTATTAAATTTATATTTATAATTGTATTTGTTTAGGAACTAAGGGAAACACTCAAATAGTTTTACCATTTATTACTGAATCTTATTCCTCATCACACGATCCACCGGAGAAAAGCATTCCTATCTGTACTCTTAAAAACTTTCCCAACGCTATTGAACACACACTTCAATGGGCCAGAGATGACTTTGAGGGTGTATTCAGACAAGTGGCAGATAATACTCACCAATACTTGACGTATGAATATCTAAATTGACTTATGTTTATAGCAATTAAATTATTGTTCTCTTATATAGTGACCCGAAATTTGTTGAGAAAACTCTTAAAATGCCCGGTAATGAAGGTATACTAACTCTTGAATCTGTTAAGAGAGCTTTGGGTGAAGATCGTCCACAAAACTTTCAGGACTGTATAAAATGGGCTCGACTTAACTTCGAGGAACAATATGTCAATCAAATTAAACAATTGCTTTACAACTTTCCTCCCGATTCGCTCACTAATAGTGGTGTTCCCTTCTGGTCGGGACCCAAACGATGTCCGCATCCACTTGTCTTTGATCCCAACAATGAAACTCATTTGGATTATATTGTTGCCGGCGCTAACCTAAAAGCATATGTCTATAATATACCTCAAAGTAGAGATAGAAAAGCAATTAAAGATTTTGTCTCCACATTAGTCATACAAGAATTTGTACCAAAAGCTGGTTTGTATTTTTGTTTCTAAATTAAAAACTTATTTTTAAAAATATGTTAAATAGGTGTAAAAATAGCGGTCAATGACTCTGATCTCAACAATGAGAACAATGGAGGACTGACTGATGTCGACCAAATGGTTAAAGAGATGCCATCGCCTAACTCTTTGGGATCCAATTTTAAGATTAATACAGTTGTGTTCGAGAAAGACGACGACACGAACTTTCATATGGATTATATTGTGGCCGCAAGTAATTTGAGAGCTGAGAACTATAAGATCGCACCCGCGGACAGACATAAGAGCAAATTGATTGCCGGAAGAATTATTCCGGCCATCGCTACAACCACTTCATTGGTTACCGGTTTAGGATGTCTTGAGTTATTTAAAGTATGACTGAAATTAATATATATATATATATATTAGACGATATAAGTAACGATTGTTTGTTACTATAGGTCGTTCAATCGCACAAAACTCTTGAGGCATACAAGAATGGATTTGTCAACTTAGCGCTTCCATTCTTTGCATTTTCAGAGCCTATCGCACCCCAAAAGACTAAGTATTACGATAATGAATGGACTCTTTGGGATCGATTTGAACTAAAAGGAGATATTACTCTTAGAGAGTTCATCGACTACTTTAAGGTTTGTCTTATTTATAATTAGTTGTCATAATATTTGATTTATATTATTATTTATTGATTTATTAGAGTCATCACAAATTGGAGATAACAATGTTGTCTCAGAACGTATCGATGCTCTACGCCTTCTTTATGCCGAATGACAAACGTGAAGAGCGTATGGATCTCAAGTATGTGTCGATTGTTTTTTAAATATAATTACCGGTAATTGTTTTTTAATGATTTTGTCTTCAGATTGACAGAAATTGTTAAACGCGTGTCCAAGAAGAAGATCGATCCGTGGTCTAAGTCATTAGTGTTTGAATTGTGTTGCAATGACAGCACTGGTGAGGACGTAGAGGTGCCATATGTGAGATACACTTTACCCGACGCCTAATATTTAATAAATTCACTTAAATTAAAGCAAATATTTTTTAACAAAATTTTTGGTTTTATATTTATGATGTCTTCTTTGAATTTGAATTGTTTGTGAAAATACGATTAATTTAGTAAACGTTTGATTGCTTTTTATATGATATTATTAATACACAAACAAACATTAATGTCTATTATCTATCGATGTTTTAATCGAAATTTTTAATTTAATATAAATTCAAATAATTAGTCAAATATTCTTTTTTTTATTATTTTCTTATAATTATTAATTAATTTCCGTAATATTTGACTTTATAGGTGATATTTATTATAATTAATGCAATATTTATTTAAATAATTGCTTTAAATAAAACTACTAATAGATTTTAATTTAAAACATTTTTTCATGTATTCAACTATTTGTTTATATTTATGTATGTTTTAAACATAATTGAATAAAAGCAAAGATTGTTTAAATAGTTTTGATTTTTATTTATAAAAAATAATAATTTAAACAAAATATGTTTAATAAAATTTAAGTTTACCTATAGTTCCTGATGTCCGGGAGGGGGGACTATATGAGGGCGTAAATACTGTATAAAAATTGTAAGAAAATATTAAGTTATAAACAAAATATAGACTGATATCTGTATCGCGTAATTGTTGTGTTTCTATTAATTAGTACTTTTTATAACAATATATTATAATATAAGAGTAAAGTAATAATAAAGCAAAAAACATACCAAAAAATTATATTTAAATATCAGTTGATTTTATGAGCCATTAAAGTGAATGTAAACAGAAAAAAGTGGACACAAAGTGATTGTTTTGATTGAAGTAATCGGTTAAACAAGTGGTCAAAACATGTGGTATGAGTTATTACCGGCATTCGGGGCAATGATGACTGGATTTGCTATCATGGAGTTGGGACCTATGGTATGCATATATATATATATATATGAGTTGTATAGTTGATGGACAAACCTATTGATAAAATTGATGAATAGGTGACCCATTGGGCGTCGTGGGGACAGCCGATGATGAGACGGTGTTGGGATGACCCGTCAAATCAATGGACAAGACGTGACCAACGTATTGCTGACACTGTACTCAGGATGAGATGGGCGGCCAATCATCACTACACCATTGGTTTGGACGCCATTCCCGATGAGGGACAGCCCGAAACCCGATTTCAAGACTATCGCAATCTTTAGACTTTAATAGTCTTTGTTTAATGTTTTTGAAGTTGTCTTATAGTCAACCATTAGATTGTAATCAATATATTATATCTTAGGTTTTAAGTTAATGTAAATACCGTTCAAATTATTATAAATTAATAAATTAGTTATTGATTTGACTTTTTATATGTTATTTCATTTAATAAATTAGGAATAAATTTATGAGTCATACGATTCATAAATAAAATAGTTTTCAAAATAATTCATATATTTATTAATAGATATTTTAGTAATTTTTTTAAATGTAAAAATAATTTATATATTAGCGTACGGTAAGAGTTAACAATGTATTAAATGGTAAATATTATATATATATATAATGTATTATCGGTAAAATACAATAATTTTACGGTAATAGTCAAACAAATATTAATAAAATTTATTACAATATAATTAAATACAATATTACGATATTTGATGGTTTTATTAAACTTTAACCACTTATATGCTGTCAAACCTCTTCAAGATTGAGATCCATTGCTTGATATTTGATATTATCATTGATTGAATGCCTTTCAAGCCATTCTTTGGCCACAATATTCATGAGTAGACTACATATTAATGGGAATGAAGTTAATGTGAGAACATATAGCCATTGGGGGACAGGCTTTGTGTGGAACGGGTAGAACCAGAAGCCGTGTCTTATAGCGTCTCGTAAATGATGTGTAAAGATTGCCGTCAGAAATATCCAGCCATAAGTGTGTATTAACCAATTGTGCCGCAAGAGACCAATTGCTATAATAGATAACGATATCGATAACATCAGACTTGTATTGTGAAGGAATGGTCGGTCAGAAAGTTGTGAAACAATCTGTAATTAAAGTCGAAATCTTTTAAATGTAAAAATCATTTCAATCATCAAATAAAACATACCTTAAGATCAAAACTTCGAGCTTCGAGTACGTGATCGAAATCGATGGCCGATGCGGTCATAAATGCCAGCAATGACTCAATTAAAATGATATTTTCATAAATAGGTTGTCCTTTAGTGACGGCCACCAAAAGCCAACTCAACGAAGCAATCATTCCGTGAATTAAAGTGTCGGTCAATGCGATGACATAGGAGTTGACGGGTGTCCTCTTAATGGACAATAAGTGGTCACCAAATATAGAGATCACCAAAAGTGAAGAAGCAATCGACAGATATTTAAGTTCACAAATAATCCATTGATTGCTTTTGATTGTCATTATTATCGACGACAACAACGATATGACATCACTTACAACAAGAAATGTTTTTAAGACTTGCAATCAATTCAACTCATATCACATTTCATGTGTTTTTTAATCACTTTATTAAACCAAATGTTTATTAATTTTAATTAAAAGTTAGAAAATTATAAATACATTTAAATCACATTTTGTTTAATATATTTCAGATGTCGTGACCATCGATGACGGGATTTCTATTATATACAGTACACACCAATTATTATTATTAATCATTATTTATATTAATGAATCAATTGTTTTGATAAAACAATTATTTAAGTAAAAAATTATAATTATTATTGATTGAGAAAATGATTTATTAATTTAATTGATAAATATCTGATACAATTGATTACAATTGAAGATCTGATGCCATGACTGGTGTGATGTGTAATACAATGCAATGCTTATCACACATGTATTGTCTGACGTAATACTAAACGACAGACTGTTTTATATTTCAAGGATAGTATCGATTGATATGAAGAAGTGATTATTGTATTAATTGTTTTGTATTGCAAGACATCACTCGAGAGATAACTCGGTTTGAATTAAATTGAAAACAATTGTCTCATCGATGGCTCAGTTCAACACAGTTAAGGGTATCGTCGCGTTTGTCACCGGCGGTGCTTCGGGTCTGTTGCCATCACTCTCTTTAGTTAACATTTTATTATCAATTGATTGATTAACCAATTGTCTGATGCGATGAACAGGTTTAGGCAAAGCAACGGTCGACCGACTGATCAATTTGGGTGCCAAAGGTGTCGTCGCATTTGATCTTAAGTTTGAAAAACTATTTGATGCCAAAAACGTAATACCAGTTCAGGGAAGCGTTGTCTCTGAAGAGGATGTGCTCAAAGCGCTCGATAAGTGCGAGAAAGAGTTCGGCCGATTGGACGCAGTGGTCAATTGCGCCGGTATTTGTGTTAATTAGATTTCGACCATTTAGTTATTTTAATGATTGTTGATATTGAAGGCATTGGTGTGGCCCGAAGGATATATGACAACCGCCGCAATSAACCGCATCCATTGGAAGAGTTCCGCAAAGTCTTGGAGATTAATACTTTGGGCACATTTAATGTCAACCGTTTGGCTGTTGGACTCATTGCGAAGAACCAGAAAGTTAATGATTTAAAAGGAGTTCTTATAAATACTGCTTCTGTGGCCGCTTTTGAGGGACAAATTGGTAATTAATTTGATGTAACATTTATATGGTGTTAGTGTTAACTAAAGATTATCTACTGATTTATAGGTCAAGTGGCATATTCTGCCTCAAAGGGAGGTATTGTCGGAATGACACTTCCAATCGCACGTGACTTAGCACTTGAGGGCATTAGATGCATGACTATAGCTCCGGGACTGTTTGATACACCACTCTTGGCTGGTTTGCCCGAAAAGGTACGACAAAATCTGGCGTCAACTGTTCCCTGTCCTCAACGATTAGGAAATGTCGAAGAGTACGCTCATTTGGTTCAGACTATTATTGAAAATCCGATGCTTAACGGAGAGGTTATCCGATTGGACGGCGCTTTACGTATGCAACCATAGATCGACATATCGTCTCATAATTTTTTATATAAATTTTATACTTAATCTCATAAACTAAATATCAAATCAATAGTTTGAAAATAAGTTTTACATATAATAATTATGAACAAAATTATTATTATGTAATTTAATAATGCGTTTTAACGAAATTATCAATAATAAAATAAATTGAATTAAATTTTTCATAAATTTACTATATTTTGATAGTAATTCGTAAATTGTTAAAATAACATATGATTTAAAATAAAGTATTAGAAATGTTATTTTTATAAAATAAATTTATAAGTAATTATTCTGTATATCAAGTTAATAGCAAACATAATTTAATTCAAAATTTTTCTTATATTATCGGTAATCATCTATTAATCAATAATGATTCATCACATTTACTTTTGTAGAAAAATGTTAAATATTTTGTATAAATATATAAATTATATAAAAACAAATATTTATTAATATTTAAATATAAAATTATATTTTAATGTAAATATAATTTTATTGATTTATCAATTAATTAGACGACTGGAACATTAGCTGCCAAAAGATTTTCTCAAATGATAACAATAATAGTATCAATGATTTCTACTTCCGTTTTGGGGTTTTTATAATTTCTTGTTTTGTTTAGGTTTCGTACTTTTCTTTTGGTTTACATGTTTGACGTGAACCTCCTTTATGTGTTTGGGTGCGTCGGGTGTCGGTATCATTGTTGTGGTTGTCTCGGTGTCATTGGGAGGATTGATTCGCATCTTTCATCAAATATTTGGTTAAATTTATCTAACATTTAAAGATAAGAAACTTATATATACCTCAATTCGGAGTTTCTCAGCGCAGGCATAATCACTCTCATCGATGTCATTATAACAGTCAGATTTGGCTTTTTTAGGCAAACCGTTTGGTCCGTATTCGCACAACTTCTCCAATGGTATGGCTTTGACTATCATTTTAGACATATCTATAGGCTTTTCTTGCGGACAATAAAACACTTTCGGTGTTTTCGGATCAAAAACGATAGACTTTCTCATCATATCAGATGAGACTACAGCTAACAATATAAATCCAATCATTAACTTCACACCTATTGGTGAATATTTAAAATGTTTATTAATAAAAATTGTCAAATTAGTGATCAAAATACTGTTAAATCATTTAAAAAAACTGTTTATACAATTAACAATATATATATTTAAATATTTATATATACTATATATTTTACCCATTATTTAGATGAATGTTAATCTATTACACTGTGTATAATAGATTAAAATGATTAAAAGATTTGATTTTATTATAAATTAAAATATATTTTGATTACAAGTGAAACGTCAATGCAATTAAATAAATCAAATATGAAAATGGCTTAAACTTGAGTTAGATTTGGAGATGTTTTTTGGACATTCAATGGCAGTAAAACCGGTTTTTATTTTAAGAGTGACGACGCTCTAGAAGGGCAGTCAACTGTGGGACGGGATGTCAGGGATAATCACTTTCATAATATTACTCTCAATGAGAATACTCTAATCGTTAAGATATATAATATAAGTTAGAGTACATAATGTGAACAAAATCCAAATTTATATATTACTGTAGTTTTAATAATTTTTATTTATATAATATTTTTAAAACAAGATTTGCATATTTTTTCAGTTGTGGTTAATTGTGTGTAATGTTAATCATTAATAATTTATAAAATTATGTATTTTTATAGTAATAATGGAGACAAATTTTGATTGTGTAATTTGTTTGCTAATAATTTTAGTAATCATAATAGTTTAATTAAATTGTTATAAAAATCAATGTTAATTTTTTTAATTAATATAAATTATCATATATTCTATAGAAAAAATTAAATGTTAAAATTTTTGCTAATTAAATTAATTTTTTTATTAATTGAATTGATTTCATATTGATTTGTTATTTTTTAATGAGAAAACATTACAAAATAATTGTGACAAAACATTATAAATGAAATTTAATAATTTGAATTATTATAATTTGTAATTTTGATATATATTGTTAAATCTTTAATGAATTTATTTCCTTATTAATGGAAAACTAATTTATTTCAATTAAAATTTTATATTGAATTCAAATTTTCTTATATTATTGTCTTATTCTGGCTGTTCATATCGTGATCCATAATAAGCTGAATCACCATTTAGTGGCCATTTTAAATAGCGATCAGATTTGAGATATTTGTCGATTTTGGGCAGTGATTCAAAACGAGCTAAATATTGGACTAAATTGTTGTATTGCGAGACAATCTGTGGTGAAAATAGTTTTTGTTGATCCAAATATTCATAGACCAAGAAGTCTACATAAGTCAAGTGTTCACCTAATGATACAAACATTATAAATATTTTATCACTTTTTCATATAAATTAATATAAAACACATTACCGTATTTCATTGCTTAATTCCCCGTAAGAAGTTCATAAAAATATGATAAATAACATTTTCATACGGTAAAAATTCGTATTTTTTTACCACCCTGGTAAATTAAACGAAGGTATGGAGAAAAGGAAAAATGGGGGAATTAGGGAAAAGTAATCTATATTTAACAGTAGTCTATTAAAAACGGTATATTTAGATAACTATTACCTGTAATTAATTAGTTATAACAGTGCTTAACAATAAATGACAATTGTATACGTTTACAGTATTTTTACATATTATAAATCGGTAAATACATAGCATATTCAAAGGGTTTGGAAGGTCTAAATACAAGGAGTGGTAAAACTTGAAAATGTATAAAAACAAGTGGCGAAAGTCACAAAATATATTTTTCATGTGATACAAAACTCGCATTATTTACCATGACTTACATATCTCCATACAGGGAATTAAGTAATCTTTAACGGTATATAAAAATGTCTGTACCGGCAAAGTAAGGTCGTTCACCCAAGAATTTGCTCAATTGATCCAATAGTAGTGGCAATTGTTTGAGATAATCGAGTTTCAATGTATCAAAGTTTTGATTGTAACAAATCTTTGTGAAACCGTTGTTATTATCTTTTAATTGTTGTTCAACTAAACTGATTCTGTTCTCTTCTTCTTCTGTATTACCCATCAAATCATGTTTTCGACCCAAATATCTAATTATTGCCAAACTTTGTGTGATCTTAATATCTCCATCGATATAATATGGCAACTATTATGTGAAAATAATTTTTAAGTTATTTCACATTAATTTAGACTATTTTTTAGATCATTTTTATAATACAATCCTTACATTAGGAAAGGGTAGACCTAATGAGTACTTTTCATTCAACCATTCGCTTTGATCGATGTCTGGTTTGGGACCGTATTTATAGCGTTTGTCAGTGTATGGCGTCTCCGTGTAGGCCAACAATAGCCGTATCGGTTGTGCCAACTGTCCATAATATATAAAATAAATTTAATATTTATTTTCAATCCTTATCATCTATTTTATATTATTTTAGTTCAAAATTACAACTAATTCAAATATTTAAAAATATTTTTAATAAATATAATTTTTAATTCTATTTATTGATATATTGTTTTTTATTTTTTATTGTTAATTATTTATGATGTTATATAACAACTGCATCTAAAGTGTGTCATAAAATTCAAGGTCTTTATATTATATAATTAATTGAAAAATTTCTACATATAGTAAATACAGTAAGTGTTTAACACTGTTTGTTGCTAACTGTTTAACATTACAGGAATACTGTACAGCAGTAATACAGAGATATTAAATTTATATCAATTTACACTTAACTATTATACAGTATATATATATACATAATGTATAATATATTTTTCTGATTTACAATTTAAGTTAAATTTTTAATTATAATTATATTTCTCATAAATTAATATTTTATGACAAAATAAATGATATATTATTAATCAATAAATATAGTGTATTGTAATTAAATTAAATATCACTTACACCACGAATATCCCAATATCCAAGTGTTGGTGACATTCAATATTTAGGTATTCAAGTCTTTAAGAAATAATTGAATAAATTGATTAACAATGAATTGAAAATCACAAATCGTTAATGTAATATAAGTACTGTATATTAATATTTTTTGTTATACTGGTATACAAATGGTTTATTAATATTTAGTATACATATGTATAATAATTGTAAGTTTAATGAATTTATTGATGTGATTCTCAGCACTAAAATTTGTTGTCAATACTCGCACCACAAACACACATACACTACACTCTAGTAGTTTCTATATACTATARTACAGTATATATATACAGTACAGTGTCGTTGTATAGAAAATACCTATTAATATGATTGCAATTATTGTATTAATATTGTCAATGTTATGGTGGCTAGACTTGCAACAAGTTATTCACGTTATTGTTACTTTACATTAATAAATTAATCTAGATGCATTATATAGTATAGTAAATGTACTGTACAATGTATGGTTATAAATAATTAAATATACGGTATAATATAATATTCTGTATATTAAAATTATATATTTTCTATAAATGAATAATTTATAATATTATATATAATATGATTTTAATTCCGTATAAGTAATAAATTTCTGAAATTATATCATTAGTTTACAAATAAGTGCTAATATTAAAATTTAAAAAATATAGATTGCAATTATTGTATTGTATACTAAATTTCAAATTAATATACTATGTATTTGATTTATAATTTGTTTATATTTTGATAAATTTCAAATCTAGAATAGTATATTATATTGTTTATTTGTAAAATTATATTAATGTAAATGTTATTTCTAAATTTAAACAATTTTAGATAAAATTATAAAAWAGATGTCAATTTTATTTTTGTTGTATATTTTGAGAAGTTTTATAAAATTTGGTAAATCTATTTTTAAATAAGTTAATTATAATTGATATCGCATTTACTACAGTTTATGAAAAGTATTGTTTTTTTATTAATAATATGAATTTAAATATGTTTTGTATATGAAAATCGACAATTTTAAATATTCTTCTATTATTTCAATAAACATTAGAGATAAAAACAATAGTAATTTTATTTTGAAATATAAAGTTACAAATACAGTATCAAACCAACACCTGTATACCTACTGTTACATTACTACATCAAATACAATACTGTATACTGTAATTGAAGCATAATTTACATAATATAATAGAAATTATTAGATTTTGATAAAAATCACGATTTATTAGTTAAATATCGTATCTTTGAGTTCATTACCAATAAGTAACAAATTAAATAAAAACAATACTTAATTTTTTCATAAAAAACAGTTTAAAAATAATTTTACTTTATTGTATGATTAATAAAATATACATTTGTATGATAGGAATAGAAATTTGAATAAAATATTTTATATTTTTGCGCATATAAAATACTCGTGTCTATTATATCCTTCAATACTATTGATATTCAAATGTAATATTTTAATTAAAATAATTGATAAGTAATGAAAACAATAGAAAATTAATACTAATTTATAGATTTAGATTTTAAAAGAAGATATCGTTAATGTATTTAATATTCATAACTTCATTTATATAATTGTGAATTGTATACAATAATTGTATGCTATATAATTGTAAATAATTTTAATTATTCATTACTCATTTTATTGAAAAAAATTATGAAATGTAATTATAAGTATTTGTTTTAAAACATATAGCAAACACTTTTATTGTCAATCATTTAGACACTTCCGCCCCATTGAGCCATCGGACCATTGAATGGCACATTGGGTGCTGTCTTCAAATAGTTGGCAATCTGTGGCAATGATCTGACTCTGTCGCCAAACTTCTTAAGATTATCCACTTTGGAAACTTCTTCCGGAACCAAAGCATTCAATTTTTCGAGTAATTCATAAGCAATAAAGTCTACATAAGTAACACTCTCTCCTATTGAATAAATTAAATATCAATCAATAAAATTCACAATCAATAGATTGAGTGGATGAGTGTCATACCCGCTAAAAATGGTCGATCGCCGAGAAATTGGCTCAAAAGTTGCAAATTATTTGGTAGATTCTTAAGCCAATCAACTTTCAAAGTCTCATAATTAGGATCATAAACAATACGAGTGATACCTATATTTAGGTCAACCAACTGTTGCTCCACGAGATCCACACGTAGTTTCTCTTCATCCGACTGTCCGTTCAAATTGTTTTTGCGGGCAATGTATCGGTTTATTGCCAAACTTTGCGACAGTTTTAGATCACCATCGATATAGTAGGGAAGCTATCAATTCATTTATCAATTTATTGTTATAAATTTTTTATCTCAACTAAATGTTTAAACAAATTAATTATGATAAATAATATTTCTAAAATCCTTCAAATAGTTTGTTTTGTATTTATATATCTTATGTATCAAAAATCATTTTTAAATATTAATATGTTCATTAAATAGAAATATATTAATTATAATAAAATTAATTATTTATTAAGTAACTTAATATTCTCTTAACTAATATTTACGATTATAAAAAATATTAATTTTTAAACACTATTACCGGTAATCATTTTTATAATAAACTAAACTAATAGTATTAATCAATAGTTATAAGTTATATTTATAATTAATAGTTTAATAATGTTTAATAATTATTTATCTTCACAGAGTTAAATAACTATTAATTATCTCAATTAAGGCATCGATAATATAAGATTAATTTTTTTATATTACAATAATAATAGAGAAAATAGTATTTATTACTAATATTTTATAATTCTTATATTTGCTTAAAATTCAACCAATTGTTAAATAATTATAAAATTGACATACATTAGGAAAGTCAAGTCCGAGTGATTGTTTGTCATTAATCCATTCAGTCCTATCGTATTCAGGGGCAGCTCCGAGAGTATAACGTTTGTCCTCATACTCAGTGCCCGTATAAGCCAACAATAGACGGATTGGTTCTCCCAACTGTTAAAACATTATATTATTATACAATAGAATATATTATTTCATTTTTATTATGTAATATAAATAATTTCCAAAAAATACATTAATAATACATTATATGTTTTTTATATACAGTATTTAATGTATTTAATTTACAGATTTATGATACTATAATATTATATAATATATAAGATGACATAAGTATATTATATCATATAAATTATATAATATATTTGATGACATCCTCTTTTTATTCAATTTAATATCTGTCTGCCTATAGTTAAGCGATTGATATTACATTTCTTAATAGTAATACTGTATATTTAATCAAATCTTGCTTTAATTAAATTTTGTTTCCTAAAGTCATTGCTTATACATAAAAAACAAATTTTCTAATACACAGTTTGACGGCTATTTCTATTAACAAATTCAAATCAAATATATAATAATAACGTTAGTATAAGTGAATGAAACCCACGATAATAATTTACATTTTTCAAAGTTAAAACCGTTGAATATAAAATATAATAAATAATTGGTTGTTTCAATTATTGTATATAAATTATATAATATAAAGTATAATCAAAATGCATTTTAATAATAGCTATTTATAACACATATCTATTAAATTATAGATCAAATGTTGCAAATTATCGCCATATAAAAGTTTATATAAATTATTATCCAAACATATTGAGATTGATTTTTCTACTCTTATATAATTATTGAAGAATTAAATATTTTCAATAAATATAATATACTTTATATTTAAAATATTAATAATTTTTACGAATAAGATTATACTAAATTAAGATTTGTTTGTCATTTAATAGTATTTTTATAACAATACAAATACAACACTTGTTATGTACACAAATGTATAGAAGATTGTATCAAATTATATCAGATAACTAATACTAAAATAAGATTGTCTGAGAAAATAGCAAAACTAACAAAAAATTCACATAAAATATAAAAACAAGAATTTCTTTTTTATCCGAATGTATGTATAATAACTAAATACCTGTCCCTAACTTCCAACTCCAGGTGTTCAATATATATACAGTATTATACAATATATTAAATAGTAGTTTCTTAACAAAGTTAAGTAGCAATACATAAAAAACATTTAGTTTTCAATTTACTATTGATTTATTAGACTTAAAATTGCTATTTTCTTATAAATTTTAGTGATTATAATAACACATGATTTATATATATTATATAATTTTTAGCCATTATGTGCTCAGATTTTACACCCAAAAATTGTTAATATATAATATGCTATATATTTAAACATTTGGTTAAGCAATTATATTGTATTTTTACAAATATTTATCATAATCTAAAAGTATTTGTGTAAAAATTATTAATTCAATATTTTGATAATAAAAAAACATGGATTGAATAACACATTAGGACTATAGTGTAAATGTGTAAAGCATTTGACAATATATTWAATATATTATTTGAAATGTCATTTGAAGATTATCATTTATTTAATTAATAATACAATATTGTAAATCATTAGAAATTACATTATATTATATTTATAAAATTAATAGCAAATTAATATTTTTATCTAATGTATTTGTTAGTATATTATGTATATAATAATTACTAAAATTATAAATATAGAAAACAATTATTTTATCAATTGTATAGTTTTTATATAAATTTGAATATAATAATAATCTAAGTTATTAATAGAAATAGTAATAATGACAAATAAATTAAATATAAATAAAAGTAGCATGCTAGATTAGCTAATAATATGAAATGTAGACTTACTCCCCGAACATTCCAATATCCCAATATCGGTGCCATTGTTTATAATTTACTGATTAAAAATCAATTTATAAATTAAACCGAAAATAATAAACCAATGTTTAAGTTGCTGTCAATTATTAGTCTTAACAACTAAATGGTTGGCAAACAGTAGAGATTCAATGCATTAAATAGGGTTTTCAAACAAGCATTCAATGGGTTGGTCTCTACACGTCTAGCCTTAGTATAAACACACCCATCACTTATAAAATTGTTGTACAGTATATCCTCGCTATAAATAACAAACTCATTGTGTTAACAATAGTATGACTCATGAATTGAATATTCTTTAAAATTACTATTTTTAAAAACCGGTATTTGATTTGTTTTATGGTATAAATATGTATTGTTTTATGTGAATTCAGTTTAAATCAAAAGGACTACAATMAAAAAAATAATGATTGTGTTTAACAATGTGCTAAAAATGTAATTTTCTATTTAAGTTTCATATTTTATTATTTTTAAAAAAAGGATGATTGTATTAAAATTGTTTAATTTTGAAAACTCTTATAAAATTTCATTAACATTATATATTATTTTCCCCACATTTGACTGTTAGGTATCTAACAATTTTATAAGATAAACGTAAACGTTACACACATTTGTTTGACAATTAATATTTTAAAAAATTGTAGTCTAGTGCTGAAATATACTGTAATAACCTTGAATATTATCAAATACATAAAATCATATCAATCTTTTTTCACGAACTCCTGAAAGGAGTACGTATCTGAATTCTATATGTCCTTCCGTCCTTCCGTCCGTCCGCTTTTTATTGAATTTTTAAATTTTGACTTCAGATTTGAATTAAGCATCAAAAATAAGGTATAGGGGATCAGCATTAAAATTTTGATATCTCATTGGGAACATAGAGAAAATGGCGGCCAAAGTGAAAAATTTAGGTAAAAATTTTTGAGTATAGATTTGAATAAAGCATCAAAAACAAGCATAAAAAATATGGTTTAAAATTTTGATATCTCTTCGGGAACATGGCCGCAAAAGTACAAAAAAAAGAAATTAAATTTGAAAGTATAAATTTGAATAGAGCATAAAAATAGGTAAAGAATATCAGTATTAAAATTTTGATATATAATCAGAGGTTTTAGAAAATCCATAAAATATAAGTAACAAAAAAAATATATTGAGATTATAAAAAAAGTTTAGAAAAGTCAAAAAATATATGAGTAATACAAACAGTACTAAATATTCAGAGATTATAGAAAAGAACAAAAATATATAAGTAATACATACAGCCAGTCATGAGGAGCAATTGACACGCCACAGATCATATTAGTGCTAAATATGTAAAGGTGAATTTGTGAATTTTTATTTAAAAAAAAAATATTGTTGAGACATAACTTGACAGTGACATTGATTTAATAAAAAAATTTATTCCAAATAGTAACATTTAGTATATAATTTTTTATTACCATAACAATATTTATTTATTAAAATAAAAAATTCAACTCTATGATTGGATTATGTTCAATTGCTCCTCATGACTGCATACAGCATTAAATATTCAGAGGTTATAGAAAAGAACAATAATATATGAGTAATACATACAGCACTAAATATTCAGAGGTTATAGAAAAGAACAATAATATATGAGTAATACATACAGCACTAAATATTCAGAGGTTATAGAAAAGAACAATAATATATGAGTAATACATACAGCACTAAATACTCAGAGGTTATAGAAAAGAACAAAAATATATGAGTAATACATACAGCACTAAATATTCAGAGGTTATAGAAAAGAACAATAATATATGAGTAATACATACAGCATTAAATATTCAGAGGTTATAGAAAAGAAAAAAATATATGAGTAATACATACAGCACTAAATATTCAGAGGTTATAGAAAAGAACAATAATATATGAGTAATACATACAGCACTAAATACTCAGAGGTTATAGAAAAGAACAAAAATATATGAGTAATACATACAGCACTAAATATTCAGAGGTTATAGAAAAGAACAATAATATATGAGTAATACATACAGCATTAAATATTCAGAGGTTATAGAAAAGAAAAAATATATGAGTAATACATACAGCACTAAATATTCAGAGGTTATAGAAAAGAACAATAATATATGAGTAATACATACAGCACTAAATACTCAGAGGTTATAGAAAAGAACAAAAATATATGAGTAATACATACAGCACTAAATATTCAGAGGTTATAGAAAAGAACAATAATATATGAGTAATACATACAGCATTAAATATTCAGAGGTTATAGAAAAGAAAAAATATATGAGTAATACATACAGCACTAAATATTCAGAGGTTATAGAAAAGAACAATAATATATGAGTAATACATACAGCAATAAATATTCAGAAATTATGAAAAAGAACAAAAAAGATGGTCATAATTAAGAAAAAACAGTCATTATTAAAATTTTAAAATGAATCTTATTGGCTAATAAAATTTTAAAAATAGTATAAATAGAGTTGTAATTTTAAGAAAATTTCAGTTAATTTCATTTTAATGAAATGTGAACATTAGTGAACAGAAATTACAATAATGTAATATTAATAAAAAAATTATATTAATTTGTTTTGTGTAATAAAAAAAAATTTTAAAAGTGCAAAACTAAGATTTTATTTTAATAAGAATAAAATTTTAAATATTTAGTTAAATATAATAAGTTAAGTTATGTAATCACGAACTCCTGAAAGGAGTAAGTACTGAATTCTATATGTCCTTCCGTCTGTCTGTCTGTCTGTCTGTCTGTCTGTCTGTCCTTCCGCATTTGATTGAATTTTGAAATTTTGATTTCAGATTTTGATTAAGCATCAAAAATAAGATATAGGGGATCAGCATTAAAATTTTGATATCTCATCAGAATATAGAGAAAATGGAGGCCAAAGTTAAAAAAAATTTAGGTAAAAATTTTTAAGTATAGATTTGAATAAAGCATCAAAAACTAGCAAAGGAATTAGCATTAAAATTTTTATATCTCTTCGGGAACAAAGAGAAAATGACGGTTACAGTACAAAAAATTGAAAACATTATAAATATAAATTTGAATAAAGCTTCAAAAATAAGATATATTGATTAGTATAAAAAATTTAATATCTTTAAGAACGTATATAAAATGGCGGCCAAAGTACAAAAATTTTAAAATTAATATTTAATACTTGGATTGGAATTAAACATTAAAAATAAGTTATATGAAATTAGCAAACAAATTTTTATATCTTAAATAAAATAGATAAAATAAAGCTTGAGTTAATACTCTTTAAATTTAAGTTATATTTATAGTAAAAATAATAATATATTTTAGTTATTTGATACTCTCTATGAATTGTTTGAGTTTATTTTGTCCTACTGTCATTTGATACCCCACATTACTAAGGTTGAATTTATTTTTTGCATATTTAGTCATTTGATACCCTATATGAATTGTTGTTTATTTTTTTATACTGAATCATATGATACCCCACATGACTAAAGTTTAGTTTATTCTGTCATAATGAGTTATTTGATACCCTACATGGCTATAGTAAAGTTTATTTTTTTATACTGAATCATTTGATACTCCACATAACTAAGGTTGTTTATTTTTTGCATACAGTCATTAGATAACCTATATGAATTGTTGAGTTTATTTTGTCATACTGAGTCATTTGATACCCCATATTACTAAAGTTGAGTTTATTCTGTGATACTGAGTGATTTGTTACTCCACAATGTGGAGTCCACATCCATGTCATACTTAATCATTCGATTTTAATTTAATTTTTAATTTGGATTAGGAGTTCGTATGGAAATGCTTTCTAGCATTCTCAACTGGTTTTATTTGAATACAATCAATATATTGAATATATTATATACACCTCTTTTATTATATACAGTAATTAGTTGGAAAATAACTGAACACTTATGGTCTAAATTAATCAATTTATTATTTATACAAAATTTGATTTTTWAAATTATTATTTAGTTATAAATAGTAAAATAATTGAATCTTTTACAACAAATAACAAAAATAAAACAAAAGGTTAGTGACTGAAAATATTTTGCAATATTAGAAAACTTGTTATTTCTATGAAAAAATGTCATTAAAATAGTTAGAAAAACAATGTTATTTGATTTTAAGCTAAAATGTTATGCATTTTTCGGCTAAATATASGAATATTTTGAATACGAGACTAATATTTGTCTGTTGAAGACTGTATGTGTCATAACAGGACAGACGTAAACATTATTTTTATTATAAGTCGTTATTATTCATATAAAATGCTGTCTCTTAAGTGATCCGAAACATAGCTATAGTTGCGAAGCATTTGGAGGACATTAGATAAAACAGACATAAACTTTGAAACTTTGAATTTATAGTATTTGTCTTTTATTTGATAAATACGGCTATCGTTTAATGATAAGCTATTATATGTTTGATGGATATAAGTATTATATAATGTATTCGCCAGACATTTGTCTGCATACTGTAAAATAAAAGTTTATTTTTTCAATAAATATTTAGTTTATTATATATTACTATTGATATAATTTATTCAAAATAATATATTTTTAATGTTAATATTTTTAATCCATTTATATCTAATGTTATACCAATTTTTAGATATTTTAAAAATTATAAAATGTCAATTTCAAATTATTGACAACATTATATTTAATTTTTAAAAATATTAATGAATAAATTAATATCAATAAAAATCATTTTCAATGTTACTGATTTGTTAACTGAATTTTGTTTTAAGTATCATTTTAATAGTTTTTGATTACAAAATTTATGAAACTATTTTTATAATAATAAATAGTGAAAATTAGTGAGATTTAGTGAAATATCATACAGTAAAAACTTTATGATAATTATAATTTATTACTTTGTAATCAAAAATAAATAGCATTATAATTAAAACTTGAATACAATGGAAACAAAAAATGTTATTTCTAAAATAACTATAATATTAGTATTTAATAATAATTTTAATATTTATAATTAGTTATTTTGAAAGTCATACAAAAGTCAATTCATTTTACTATAAAATTAAATCAAAATCGCAATAATKCAGTCATTTGTATGATTTTGTTGTAACAAATATAACTATTAAAAAATAATTTGTAAAGATATTAATGTAGATACTGTTTAATACTTATTTTTACTATTTCTGTAAAAAGAAAAAAATTAATAACTTATTATTAGTATTGTTAATGACAATATAATTTATATTATTAGTTTGAGTTAACGATTTTTATATTTTTAGTACTATTTACATCCGTGTAATAATTCATTAATAAATTATTTTAAATTAAATTAAAATGACACTTAAATTTTGCTAATGTCATAAAATTTTAATTTCTAATTATTCAACATAACTTATACATATATGCGCGTATATGTAATTAATTATTATAAAAAAATATTACATATATAGTTATAATTAGACTAATTATGTATTAAAAAAACTTAGTTATTATTTTTGTTTGCTTTTACAATTTTTATTGTAAAAATATCTAATTAGAATTTATTCTATAATAAATTAATAGGTTATTTAGTAATATAAATATTATTTTTTAAATAATTTTATACAATAATAAATTTTATGATGCAAACCTAGTTTTTATATTTAGTGTACAATTAATTATTGAATAAAATACAATTGATTTATTCGATAACCTATTTATTAAAAACTATTTAATATTATTATATTTATAAAAAAAAACTACCACTTAAAAATTCCCCACCAGTATATATACTATTTAATAACTGTTATAATAATTTATAGCAAATAACTTTACAATAACTGGAAGAAAAAGTTATATTAGTGTAGATTTACAAACTATTAAAGCATATAAATTTCAAATTAATTACAATCTTATTATTAAATACAATATTCAAATTTAACAACTTTTCTATTTTGTATTATATTTGAATGACTGACTGACTTCAAGTTCTCACATTTGATTCTTTATGTCACAAATGCTTATTATTAATAAATTTTAAAATGATTTAAACCTCTACTGTAATAATAATAACAATATTATAGTAAATTAAATTTATTATTTGATACTAAAATTTATATTTTGCTAAATTTTATTTATTTATTAATATATTGCATAACTAAAGATTTTAACCAATAAAATCATTCAACACTTCCACCCCATTTAGCCATCGGTCCATTGTATGCCTGTTTGGGTGAGGACTTCAAATAATTGGCAATTTGTGGCAACGATTCTACTCTTTCAATGTATTTCTTAAGATTGTTCACTTTGGATACCATTTCAGGTGCAAATGCATTCAATTTGTCTAATAATTCATAACCAATGAAATCAACATAAGTAACACTTTCTCCTAATAAACAAAAACAAAATTCAAGAGTTAATAATTAATAAGAAGTATATATCAATTATTATTATTATAGAAAACCTGCTAAAAACGGTCGGTTATCGAGAAAATCATTGAATAGTTTCAAAGTATTGGGTAAATTCTTGAGATAATCCACTTTTAATGTTTCAAAATTAGGGTCGTATGCGATGTGCGAGAAATCCTCATTCATATCAACCAACTGTTGCTCCGCTAGACTAACCCGAAGTCGTTCCTCATCTGTCTGTCCCTCGAGTTTGGTTTTGCGGGCAATATATCGGTTTATGGCTAAACTTTGTGTAATTTTTATATCACCATCGATATAATAGGGAAGCTATTCGTTAAATAATATAAAATTATATTATTTTTCAATTATCTAAATGAACGACAAAAATAAAATATATATTAATAATAACGTTAGGAAAGTTGAGTCCCAGTTTGTATTTGTCATTAAGCCATTCACTCGCATCAAAATCAGGTGCCGGACCACAATTGTAGCGTTTGTCCACATATTTAGTGTCCGTATAGGCCAACAATAAACGAATTGGTTGCCCCAACTGGCATTCAATTTGTAAATTTTAGCAATTGTTTTGACATAAAATTAATTTTTAATTAAATTAAACAAAATAAAACTATATTACCCCACGTATATTCCAATAGCCCAGTGTAGGTGTCATTGTTTTTCAATTTATATAATTGAAACCAATTTAATTAATATATTAGAAAAAACAAATTAAACATTTTCAATTTATGTTTTAATAGCTTTTATTAAATGATAATACATGTAAATGTACTATAGTTTTAATAGATATTATATTTCAAACTTAAGATAAATATAAATAAAGAATGTGTCAAATATATTAAAATTTTGTTAATTTAAAAGTAGTATATTTTAGATATTATTATTATATTATTTTTTATTTTACAATTTTTATTTAAAACCAACATTAATTAGAATAACATTATTAATTCAATATAAAATTTAGCAAGTAAATATATTAGGTTAATTACAAATTATTAAATTACTAAAATGTAATTATATTGACATCTCCATTATATTATATAATTATATTTTTCCAAACTTATCATTTTTACTTTCAACTTATCAGTAAATTAAGTCTATAACTACTATTGCCTAACAAACAGGAAAATAACCAAACATTTATTAATTATAATCTCCAAAACTAAGAGTAAATTACATTCATTTTTATACAGTATTAAATAATTACTTAATTTTCAAAAAAATATTAACTTATCAGTAATACACAAAAAGTATGTTATCTCTGATCACTATTATTCTACAATTTATTCATTAATTATCTTTAGATATTTAAATACTATTTCAAATAAAAATAATGTATTAAAAAGCAATTATTTAACATTCAAATCGGATCAATAGGTTAGATATAATGATTTTAGATAGTAATTCATACTCTTTAAATGACAAAATATCAAAATTACAATTTTTTACATAATTTTATTATAAATATAGCAAAATTTCAAATATTACAAATGATAATTATATAAAATTATTTGTCAATTACCGGTAAATTTAATAAACTATTTAAAATAGTTTTGATTAATTCATTATCCTTTAGTTGCGAATTAACAACTAAAGTGTCATTTGTTAAAAAATCTAACAGTTTGTCAATCGTTTCTTTAATATTGCAATCAATTATAACACTTTGATTAAAATAAATGTCAATTAATTTATATAAAGTCGTACAAAACTTTTCCATCCAATTGACTCTAATATCAATGGGAACTAATGGCAAGTTATTTATCATTAAATTGGTTATCAAAATCCATAATTTAGTTATATATTGTCCACTAAAATAGCTGTTATTAATACACCCGATAGCATATACAGCGTACGACTGGACCTTATGATTACGTGATGTCTGCATTACATTCATTAGATTATCAATTATACAGTCAATCAATTGATAAGAATCAACACTATTAACACCAATGGTGTCTACATTAACTAAATTTGTTTGACATTTACATAAATCTATGAATACATTCAATTCAAGCAAATAACTGAATGCAATACATATATTCCAATGAAGCTTAAAATTTTTAGATAAATTCAATGTTTTGATAAACTTTTCAATTAAATCTATTATTAATTTCAAATATTTACTGTTTGAATCAATAATTAGATCAACTGTTGATTCATTTTGTATCCAATTTAATATCAGATACAATGAACAACCCGAAGAGCGAACCAGATTTGTCTTAATATTTTCCGATTGTATAGCATTTGATAGTTGAATGTCATAACAGTTAAGATTGCATTCAATTATACGAAACAAAAACTCTGATGTTATTTCGTTATAATTATTTAAATAAAATTTTTTCAATATATCACAGAAGTTTGCCAAAGTCCATGAACTTTGATATAACAATATATGCGATAACTTTTTTGTGTGATAATTGTTTTCAAAATTATCCATAATTTCGATGGCAAGCATTGAAACGTCAAATAAATAGTTGAGATCTTCAGTCATCGATCTAAACGATTGAAAGACACCTAAACAACGAATTGCTTGCGATTGACAATTTAGGTCTTCGTCTTCTGGATTTGTATTCTTGACAATTGATATCAACACTGATATTAAATGATATTTTGTATTTGTTTCAAACAATTCAAAGATCTCTATATTTATTGATGATATTAARTCAATGATAAGGCCTTGAGATGAATGTGGTATTGATTTGTCGCATATTAGTGCCTTTTCGATAAGATCAGTCTTCAGTATTTTTAACCACCAATTGACGATTTCATCGTTCATAGTATTTATTGTTTTTATATTATTTCCTAAAACAACCAAAAATTTACATAAAAGACTTTGAATCACTTGATTTGTTATAAATATATCCCTTTTAAGACTTTTTATCGATAAATCTAAGAGTTGATTGTAAGTCAAATTAAACTCTTTGTGATTCATAAGTAATCCAAATAAAGACTTTTGCTTCAAAATAGTTGCCAACAATTTTAAAGATTCACCGCAAAGAAGTATTGATTGCATACTTAGTATTGAATCCATTGAGAATTCAATCATTTTATTTATCTCTTGGATAACATAGTTATCATCTTTTAGATATCTCAACATATCATCCGGAAATGGATCCAATTCAAAGATCTTGACGGCCAGAGCTAAAAATGAGTTCTGGATTTGTATGTCTTTATGAGACAATAAAAATATAGATTTATTGAACAATTGTATCAATAGAGCGCTTCCCTGTTTCTTATGAGAAGTGAGTGTCACCAACATTGACATGCATTTAATAATTTGCACCAAAACCGGTATATTTTTCTCACTGTTGAGTATTTTACAAATGTCTTCATGTATTTCAATAATCATTTTTGCCAAAGATTGAGATAATGGTGTAAATGATAATTGTTTTGATGGTCTACTAAAATCGGCTAAAGTTATAACATAAGGATCTCCGGTTAACAATAATTTATATAAAAAATTTAAAGCAGAGGTCTTAGCGCGTGGAGAATGATCTCTTAATATAATCGACAAAATAGGTCCAGGAATTGAAATATCACTACCAGGGGGTGGACTTTGAAAGAAAGACGACCAAAAACCAAATATAATTCGCTTTTCAAACACATTCAAAGCCGATGACAATGTTTCATAAGAAATGTGTCTTATTTTGTTGGCCACCGATCGCTGTACGCGTGACGCGTCGTATACGGGAATCGAGTCGTAATCGGATGAGAATTCTGAGTCCGATATCATTGATCTGACATATGATGAATCATTACCAGCGATGCCATCGCTATCGTCATCCAAGTCTTGATTATTAACACAATTCTTATTCTTATTTTTCTTATTTCTATTCTTTTTATTCACCGATCCTTTCCTTTCATGCAATCTATTGTCCATAAACTCTGTAAAAGAGATTATAAGTTATCAGAAATACTTTTATAATAAATTTAATTAAATATAAAACCTGTCGTTTGAGCAAAAGGTGACGGAAAAAGAGCCGAAACTTTCACTTTAGTTATATCATAACCACTGACACCATAGGCGACAAAACATTTCAAAAGTCCCAAAACATGTCCACAAAATTGATTCAAATCATGTGATGGGATATTATATGTAAAGTTTGTGACCAATAAATATAAACAACGAATTGTATTCAATATCAAGTGATTCAAAGCAATCACTTCATTGTCATTAAATCTCATGTGAAGAATGAGTCGAATCTTATCCAAGTATTTCAATAGTTTATCAGTTATCTCAAGAAGTTGTTCATTGCTATAGTTGTCAGCAGTGGTACTGTCTTTGAGCATAATTTTAATCGTCTTAAACAATAAGTTTTGTGTATTGAGTACTTCAGTGACGACCGGTAAAGTCTCGGTTTTAATCCATACATTATTGGCCAACAATTTGTCCACAATATTAATGAAACAAAGACTTCTTTGCGGTGACGGATGTCGTCTATTATAATCAATGGTTGCCATCAATTGTTTCAACAAATCATTATAAAGTTGGATATTGTTTTGGATGTCAATTGAAACCAAACTTTCAGTGATCGATGAAATAATAGTTTTATAGTTAAGACGTGTATATTCTTCATCAGACATATCAGTCTTCAGTTGTCTTAACAAATCTCTAACTTCTTTAATATCCATTATTTTGAGCTATATTTTCATTCAAATCAATTAATGTATTAAAAAATATGAATAAATGTGTTTAAAAACTGCTTTATTATGGAAACAGTTGTGTAAGTGGTGTATGAAATGTATGTCCCGACGGGTATATCGATAGTTAAGACCCGTTTGTGTGACACATGTGTTGAAAACATATGACAATCAAATCCATTGATTGAATTGATATTTAAATGCAATGTCTTTGCAATGCATTCATTCAACAACAATAACGTCTGTATTATTAATAGCTTTTAAATTATAATACAGAATAAAGTTTCTATTTTATAGACTATTAGTGATAATGATTTCAATGAAATTTTTAAATAATGACTTAATTTAGCGTTTTTTAAACTAATTCTTATTTTCTTTAAATTTCTGAATTTATGAGTAACTAAAAAAATAAGTTAAAAATATCAAATTATTTGATTAATCTGAAACTATTAATTTTGTAAATTATTTAAAAATTATTTTGATTGAGAAAAAACTATTTTTTCAATAAAAATAAACAAAATAAAATTTCATAAAAAATTATTTAATAAATGACTTAAATGGTACTGTATAACAAAAATCAATATTTTTAATGATAAATTTGCGCACAGGTAGATGATTGGACATACATTTACATCAATTTTTGAAAGATGTTGCAGTTATATATATATATATATATATATATATTTATATAACTGCATATACATCAGTTAAATATACTATTAATATATTTCAATATATAAATTAGCAAAAATGTAGAATTGAGAAGTCAGTTGATGTCAAATGTTTAGAAATAACTGAATAATAGTAAATATTTAATGAAATGATATTAACAAAAAATGAAATTACCAAAACTGCATCATTTTAATTTTGTTAAAAACGTTTTAATAGTTATTTTAATTATTAAATCAATATTTAATTTTTTATTATTCATAACTGGCTTTACAATAATCGGCGCCTCCAAAGAATACCCCATTAAAAGGGGTGTTGTATTTGCTTACAAATATGATGAAAATGATGAAGTGAGAAGAGGTTAGTATTTATTAATTAATTTTTATTGTTAAAATTAAGATAATTAAAGTTAAAAGTTAAAAGTTAAATATATAATAATAATATATAATATTTACTAATAATTAGAGGACACACTGATGGCTAAAATAAACCAAATTGACTTAAATACACCAAATGTTAACAATTCATTAATTGGTTACGAGATTATGGTAAGAGGTATCATAATATTTGGTGTCCATCAGTACGGAGTTTATAGCATTCAAATGGAGAAGACATGCCATTTGATAATATTGTTATTATTATTATTAACTCTAGAAGTTATCACTTATTTATTTCTTGAGATCTACTCATTGGTTCTGGTCTTTGATATAATTGTAATAATATTAGTCTTTGACTTAACAATACTTGTTATGTTTAACATTAAACCAATACCTAAGCCAGAAGAGGACAATCAGGAGGTGATTAAGTCGGATGAGTTAATAAATGTCAATACTCTCAATGATATCCCAATTCATTGATACTTTAAATAGAAATTTTTTATTAAGACATTAGTTTATTTATTTTCCCTATAAATTATATAATAAATTGATAATCAAATATAATTGACACATTTTTATATAAATTTTGTTGTTTTATATATTCATAAAAATTTGTTTTGTATGTAAAAGTTGTATCATAATATTTCAACTATATTTGACATTTAGCTGACATATACTTTATATGAGTAAAAGTATTTTTTAATCTATTTTATAATAAATATTATTTTAGTGTAATTGTATGATATTATAAAAATTTATTTTTAAAAATATATTTTCTATAAATACTTTCATGATTTCAAGTATAGTATCATAATTTTTATAAGAAAGTAAAAATGTTCAATTTATAAAATGATTGTTTAACATTTAAAGATAAATTTAATTTACTGGTAATAATTTTATGACATTAATAACAAATTTTATTAGTTTATGTTATTAAATGACATCATTTTAATGGAAATAAATATAAAGATGACATTTGTTAAGTATAAGTAAATAAAGAGCAGAATATTAGTTATCCGAATAAGTTATACTAATTTGCGTTAAAATACTGTATTTTAAGTTATTCATGTATTTAATTGTCAATTTGTTATTTAAATAAATAATCGTATATACATTTTTGTGTTTTTGATTTAATTAATGTTTACGTCAAATACGTTAATTAATGTAAACTCAAACATCAAAGCAATTTAATTTAATTATTACAAAATACTTATATTATTTTTATAATAAATTAAAGTAAGCATATGTATATAGTATAGTTGTATTGTATTRTATTTATATAATATAATTTAAAAATCATCAAGTTAAATTGAAGCTATATTATAATATAACTATAATGCAAAATTATAATTAAAGCACATATCTAAATGCTTTAACATAATAGTAATCACCAAAAATAAGTGCCGAGTCGTGTAGGTGGGCATCGGTACTGCCGTTTACCAAAAGGGCTGGTATTTTATAATCACGATTTCCATCGGCTTTATATTTACTTGTGTTAAGAGAATTCATAATTTTATTAAATGCATTCAAATATTTCTCATTTTTAGTATAGCTATACAACTCTATCAATCCATTGGCTGCTATAGAAGCAGCCGCTGTGTCGCGTGGAATATACCTGTGCTGAGGATCATGAGGTACACTAAAATCCCAGTGAGCTATACCATCATCAGCTAAGTGATCAATAAAATAATTGGARACACCTTGAGCCGCTTTTAATATATAGTCAGCTTTAGTATATCTATAGGCAATTGTAAGTCCAGCCACGAGCCATGCCTGTCCCTGTGACCAACACGACCAGTCAGCGTAACCCATAGCTGTAAACTTTCTGATGACTCTACCGTTTGATTCATTAAAGGACACGACATGATAATGACTATAATCAGATCTCAAATGCTCTTTTAAAGTGACATTTATATGCGAGACCGCCATATCATACAGGGTTTCATTTCCAGAATGCTTCCAACCCTCGAATAGTAGTTCCAAATTCATGACATTGTCTACAATGACGAGGAACTGGCCATCGTGTCCGCTGTCCCACGAACGGGTGCATCCAATTTTAGCTATACATTTGCGTTGAATACTTCAGTCAATAATCATTTGAAAATAACCCTAAAAAGTGTACATACGATTGAAACGTTTGGCCAAATGATTGGCCGCATTGACTATAATTTTAGGATAATCTGGATTTTTTGTAAACTCGTATGCATTACCATATGAGCACATTATCATAAAACCGATATCGTGTTGCCACGTATTATATTGATCGTTATACATGGCATCAGTAGCTTTTGTAGCCAATTGTTTCCAGTGATCATCTTTGGTATAGTTATATAAATGCCAAAGAATTCCGGGATAAAATCCAGCCGTCCATTGATTATCAACGGGAGGCGTTACCTCCCACTGGGCTGACCAGGGATTTCCTATAGATGGATATTGAACTCCAGTTTTTACAGTTTGTGTTACTCTATTGTATTGCCGAACGGCATAATCGACAAGTTCTTTACGTGTTATCCCATTAACAATGGGCACCAGTAATATAATTAAACAAATGTTTGTAAATTTAAGTTTCATATTGTTTCCAAAATAATAGTTATGTCATTAATTTTATTTTAATATTAATTTTCACATCAAATATTCAATAGTCTCTAAGTTAGCTTATGTTACAATTCTCATACTTTTTATCTAAATATTACAGTATTTTTAGTTCAATTAAACTTTGTTAACAGCATTATTCAATTATTAGTTATTTATTAATACTGTATTTTACTACATATAATCACAAACATTTATAATATTATTTCACAGAGTCTTAAACAGCGGCGACGGCGATGACAGCGGCGATGCTATTAATTACAATTATCTGAACAACAATACATTGAATTAAAAAGTGACCAAGGGCAATGTTGCAGATAAATTTAAACTAAATAAAATTGTAATTGGTCATTATTTAATTAATTGTATTATATGCCAGATAATTTACAGTCGACTGTTTAAAAAATTTATAAATGATAGTCGACWGCAATTATCTGGCAAATCATACAATTAATTAAAAGTTACCAATAGCAATTTTATTCAGTTTAAAATTATCTATAACATTGCCCTTGGCCACTTTTTAATTCAACGTATTGTTGACCAGATAATTGTAATTAATAGCATCGCCGCCACTGTTTAAGATTCATTATTTCACAGTAAGTATTATTATATCTAATCCATTACAGTATAGCAACCCTGATATTTATAATTATCATTTATACAATAAACTTTATAAAATAATTTTATTTAATTAATTTATTTTTAAACTTATATATATTTATTGTGAATATGTAATAATAAAAAAATAATACAGAATCTTTTATTATAATTTAAATTTAAATATACATTAATTATTAATTTTTTTAATTGATAAAATTACAGGAAATTATTAATAAAATTATAATAAATAATCTAATGATTTAATAAAGTAATAATCGCCAAAAATGAGTGCTCTATCAAAACGGTTTGTATAGTAATCTGCGGTTCCATTAACTATAAGTGCCGGCAGTTTATACTGAAAGACGGCATCCGCTCTATAGTTGTCTGAATATAAAGAATTTATTATTTTATTGAAAGCGTTTAAATATTTTGTATTATTAGTGTATCCGTAGAGTTCAATCAAACCCGACGCTGCTATAGATGCGGCCGAACTGTCCCGAGGTATGTATGTATGGTTTGAATCGTGTGGTACATCAAAGTCCCAGTAGGGTATCCCATCAGGCGGTGAATTATCAATAAAATAATTGGATACTCCTTCCGCAGCATTTAATATATAGTCTAATTTACTATATCTATAGGCAATAGTGAAACCAGTGACCAACCAGGCTTGACTCTGTGCCCAACACGACCAGTCTGCATATCCCTGTGCCGTAAATTTTCTAATAATAGTTGCATTAGTATCGCTGAAGGCAACCGCTTGATAGTGACTATAGTCTTCTCTTAAATGATATTTAATTGTTTGTATAGTATGCGAAACAGCCATATCTAATAGTGTCTTATTTTTACTGATCCTCCAGCCCTCAAATAGCACTTCCAGGTCCATCATATTGTCAGCTATGACCACAAATTCATTTGGTGTATTATCCCACGATTGAGTACATCCTATATTATCTGATTAAATATAAAACTTAATAATATAAAAATAAATTTATTCAATTTAAACATATCTTACAATTAAATCTTTTTGCTAAACTATTAGCGGCATTAACTATAACTTGAGGATAACTTGAGTTTTTAGTAAATTCATATCCCTTTCCATACGAACACATAATAATAAACCCAATATCTATATTATCGGTTCTCATTTGATTTTCAGATAAGCTATCAGTAGCTTTGATTGCTAGTTGTCTCCATTTGTTATCATTAGTATATTTGTATAAATGCCATAACACTCCGGGATAAAATCCGGACGTCCACTGATTTTTTACCGGTTCAGTACAGTTCCACTTATAGGACAGTGGTATTCCTTCTGTAGGATACTCTTTACCAATAATAATACTTTTGGATAATTCATTGTATTGTCTGACCGAATAGTTCACTATATCCGTGATATTTATAGTTAATACAAATGGTATCAATATTTGTATAAAATATATTACTTTTAATAACATTATTAACAACAAAATTAAGAGTGCGATATAATATATAACTTTTACATATCGGCACTTAAATAAATGCATGTATTGCTTTCAAATCTGTTTTATTTAAAAAATAATTTTAGATAAACTCATAAAGTTTGTTAAATAATACAATAAATTCCAATAATTGTCAATAATTAACTATTTTTATCAAATAAATGATAAGAAATTACTTGAGTTTTAATTAAATATTTATTGATAATATTTAAGTGCATTCATAAAATAGTAATCGCCATAAATTATAGCTAAATCAGACTTTCCTGGATCGGCATTCGGACCGGCAATAGTTGCGTTCAATATAAGCGCCGGTAAATTATATACAGGTTTACCATCAGCTCTGTATTTACTCGAGGCTAACGATTCCATGATTTGTTTTGCAGTTTTTAAATACTTATTATTTTTTGTGTGTCCGTAAAGATCAAAAAGACCCGAAGCGGCGATGGCCGCTGAACTTGTGTCGCGAGGAATGTATGGATACTTATCTTTAGGTACATTAAAATCCCAGAGCGCTATACTGTCTTCCGGTAAGTTATTAATGTAATAGTTTGCTAAACCTTCGGCGGCGTCTAAAAATATCTTTAATTTTGTGAATCCATAAGTTGTTGTAAAACCATTGATAAGCCAGGCCTGACCTCTAGCCCAAGTGGATGAATCATTATATCCCTGTCCCTGATATCGTCGTATTACTTGACCGGTAGTGACATTAAAGTTGACGATATGGTAACTACTGTTATCTTTGCGAACATGTTCTTTGAGTGTACGGTTGGCATGAGATACAGCCATATCGTAAAGGGTTTTATTACCAGTTATTTCATAACCTTTAAATAAAAGCTCCAAATTCATCATATTGTCGACTATCACTAAAAACTGCTTTTTATCATCAATACTACCCCACGATCTAATGCAACCAACTTTATCTAAACAATTGAAAATTGAATTTATTAGTTTTCTAATATATAATTTGTATTGTATATGTATTTGAAATACAATACTAACAGTAATAATACTGTAAAATAAAAACTTTATACTTACGATTAAACCTTTTCGCTAAACTATGGGCTGCATTAGCAATAATGTTAGGATAGGTTGAATTTGTTGTAAATTCGTATCCCTTTCCATACGAACACTGAATCATAAATCCGATATCATGTGTATCTGATCTGAATTGATTAGCAAATAGTCCATCAGTTGCTTGAATAGCCAAATGTTTCCAGTGGTCATCTTTTGTATAATTAAATAGATACCATAGCACTCCTGGATAGAAACCGGCCGTCCATTGGTTGTTGACTCCAGGAGTTGTGTGCCATTTGGTTGATATCGGTTTTCCATCGGTCGGGTATTGAACGCCTATTTTTATATCCACATCTAATTTGTTATATTGTTTAACTGAATATTGAATTAATTGATTTTTATCTAAACACAAAATTAATGTAATTGTAAAAACTAAAAATATTTGCAAAACAAATAATACTCTCATGATTTATAATTAATACAAAATTACCACTTAACTAAATAACATTTACAGTATTTTTAACTATTTCTATATTTAATGTTATGTATACTGTTTATAAAGTTATTATAAAACCTATTATCACAA